AGCCAGCCGTGGGACGTAGCTGAGAAATCTGCTGGATCGCCAACGTGGCGCCCTGCGGTGCCAGCACCAACCTGCAACTGCCGCCCGGATGCAGTCAAGTACGCAACATGGTATGGGCGCAAGGTACCGCAGCAACACCGAGCATGGGCAAGGAAGGTTCAGATGACCAGGAGAGCGAACTAAACAACCTGCCATCAAGACTTGCTGCGGCAGCAGGCTCGAGAACGGTGCTAGAGCTGCTTTCATGCCAAGGCCAGCACACGCCTTGTCGCACGCTAGAGTTCTAGATTGACAGGCGTTGCCAAGTGACGCAGGTCAACTGCTTGTACCATGTCGCAATGACAAGGCGTTGATGCACTGTACATCGCGATAGGCACGACAATGCGCGCTAGATGGGCTACCTTCACGAGGCCGGATCGACAACGGCCACCATATAGAGCTGTATTACGGAGTACTGAGCGGCTAATGATGCGGCGCGCTGCTGCTGCCGAGGCCCTTGGCTTCGCGATCCTGCTGGACAACCATGGCGTTCATGCGCGAGAACTACGTTCGTGGCCATGAGCCCATGGATGTACAAGGAGCATCCTGTTCCTACCTCCTTCTTGTGGTGGAGGCACTCGAGGTAGTCTTCGACGGGGGCGGCGCACGAGCCGGGAAGGTCCGCTTCGCGCTACGCAGCCATGAGCTTCGCCACGTCAGGAAGCACGTACGTTGCAGCGCTCGACCTCCTTCCAGAAGGAGTAGCACCGGTTGGCCGTGCCCTTGAACCCAAAGCCCGACGACATCTTTGACAATTCGCAATTAACGGCCAGGACGCCGTCGCCTCTCAGACATCATACTCCATTTCACGGGTTTATCCGGATGTTATCCGGTGGCGGTATCTTGGCATCGGCCCAAGCGCGGCCTCGATGAAGCGCAGCATCGGCGCCGAGTAGACAGTATACCTGGCCGCAGCCACAACCTAGCAGCTTCCTTTTCGTGCACCCAACTCAACCAACAAGTGCTACCAGGCATCGGAGCCGCAGACGAAGCTCGACAACCCGTACCGCAACCTCGTTGGTGCCTTGCAGTACCTCGTCACGGGCTCCCGCCTCGAGCTCGGCAACGCGTTGCGCACGCTGTCGTCCAAGTACCTCAACTGCTACACGTCCGAGCATTGGGCCATGGCCATGCGCGTGGTCCGGTACCTCGTGGGTACGCTCGACTTTGGGCTCGTGTACAACATTGAGGAAGCGAGGACGTACGACGGCCTCTCGATCGAATCGTGGGCCGATTCCGATTGGGCCAACGACACCAAGGACTACAAGTCGATCACGGGCTACGTCACGAAGCTCAACGGCCAGACGATCTCGGCCAAGAGCTCTAAGCAAGACATCGTTGGTACAAGCTCGTGTCACTCGGAGACGATCGCGGCCAGTACGGCTGCGCGCGACGTCATGTGGCTTGAGCAGCTCCTCGAGGAGTGCTCGCTACTCTGCATGGGCTTGGTTGTATAGCATCTGGCGTGGGTTCATGCTGCTCAGCTGGCTGCTCGGCTCAGCAACGAGATTGACAGCACCATGGACAATGGACGCGGCAACGACGATCGCCGCTGTGTTTGTCAAGGGCGACGGACCTGCAGGAGCGCGGAGAGGCTGGCGGCGCAGGTGTCCACGCAGGTGTCCAAGCGCCAAGGCGAACGGGGTGGCTGTCGCCTGTTCACACTCGTCGTGTTTTGACGTAATAAAGAAGCGTTCTCTACAACTACCAAGGGATCGATCATCTATTCCAATTCACCGACACCGCCGATCTCCGCGATCTTGGCCAGGAGTTCGTCGGCCTCGGCCTTCTTGACGTCCTTCTTGAGCACGGCCGGGACGTTCTCCACAAGCTCCTTCGCTTCCTTGAGGCCGAGACCCGTGATGGCGCGGATCTCCTTGATGACCTTGATCTTGTTCTTGGCATCAAAGCTCACGAGCTTCACGTCGAAAGCCGTCTTCTCTTCCTTGACCTCTTCCTCGACAGCCGCGCCGCCGCCGCCACCGCCCATGGCAAAGCCCATTTCCGGGATGTCAAACTTGATCTAATACAAGGTGCGAGCATGAGCCATCGCCATGCGCATGCTCTAGCGCGGTACCTGGACGGCCTTGGAGAGCTCGGCGATTTCGATCATGTTGAGCTCGCAGATGAGGTTGAGCGCATGCTGGACACGCGGCGAGACCTCGAGCTCGTTGTTCATCATCTGGGCCTGCTCGGCCGTGGGCTCCTTCACCTCGAGGAAGCGGGGCAGCGACGACGAGATGGAGCGACGCGCATGGCGCGAGAGCGTCGAGCGGAGGGCAACACGAGCAAGCATGGGAATTTGGTATGAAGCAACGACTGGTGAAAAACCGCCTTCCTCCCACACCCGATTGTACCATTGCGTACAACGTACGTACAGCTTTGGCATACAAACAGCAAAATAAAAAGACGTACATGACCTCCGTACACCATAAAGTATGTATTTTCACAGTATTACGCACAGGATCGACGACCGGGGTTAAAGGGTTAAACCCATTCGGCCGACACCTTCATTCGGTTGCCGCCTCTAATATTGCAGCTATGGACCAGAGTACAAAAATACATGTATGTACTCTTGCTATGGAGCACGACCATACATGCCAATGGTCTCAAGTCACACGCTTTGACTCCATCAACGGGAGGCCAAGTACGTTTAAACACATGTATACGATCGCAAAAGACCTCGAAATACTTTGCCGTCGATAGACAACTTGTCCATTCCGAACACGAACCAATACTGACGCAGCGAAGATGATGTGTGTATCATCAAGGTTAAGAGTCAACAAGTTACGGCTGGACGTACCTCTTGCGCCGCTTGGGACTCGAGACAGTAGTGTGCGGCGTCTCTTCGTCTGCGACGCACGCCGTCCGCCGCTTGCCGTTCTCCATGAGGCGCTGCGTCTGCGTTAGCACCCACGACGGGAGCGCGGACCGCCGCTTGTAGTGCACCGTGACGTCCATGTCGCTCGTGCGACCGAGCCACGTGTCGACGAGCGCGGCGAAATCCTGCACGGCCGCCGTGAGGTCCACGGAGAAGCGAGTCGCGCCCCGGGGCACGGTGAAGTTGAGCGCGATGAAGAGGCTGCCGCCGCTACAGCCTTCGTCGAGCACCTCGGGGGGCAGGTCAAAGACGCGAGCAAAGGGAAAGATTTGCACATCGGGCACCTGCTCCAGCCTACAATGCCTCGGAAAGAACGGCAGTCGAGAGCACCAAAGGTACCGAGAGAAGAGCTGGCGCAGGCGGGACTCGACCCAGCCGAACCACGCAGGAAACGACGCGGTCGCGGCCAAGACGTCGAGCTGCAGGAAGTGGTCCCATCTACACACCCATTATCATCTTCGTACCCTTAAGCGACGCGAGGGGCACACCGCTTGAAGAAGGTCGAGTCTTCAAAGAGGTCTTCCCACGGCACACTCTACATCACAACGTGGTGGTCGGGGCTCGATGCGGGCGACGGCACCTGGATTTCAATGTCGACGCACGTGGCCGCGGCCGACCGAAACTCGGATTTCATCATCGCGAGCGTCGACTCGAGCACGTTGTAGGACGAGTTCATCGCGGGGTACGCGGGCGTGATGATCGGCATGAGATGGGACCGGTCCCGCGGGTTGAGCTTCGGGTTCCACGTCTACTGGCACGTGAGCGCTCCGGGCATGCTGTGCGAAGAAGGGGGGAACACAGCGCACGGGAATGCTCAAATCGCCCAGCGACTCGTCGATGCGGTTGAGCAAAATCGGGTTGGGCCACGTCCACTGGTGGTAGACGCGAAAGAACTTGGTCAAGAGCGTGCCTAGAGTGCCAGTCAGTATGAGGACGTAGGAGGGAGGAGAGACCCGCGAGCGACTGCGGGTACAGCTGGCACACGCGTGCGACGAGGATCGCCCAGTTGACGCCCCCGAGGAACCCGAGCACGTTCGAGTAGATGCCACGCATCTAGCCACTCCTAAGCCTCCAGGACAGTAGATGGGTAAACCGTACCCGGGCCCAGTGCTTGACGGCGACGAGCGTGGTGCGGAACTGCTCAATGTTGGGCACAAGCTGCAGAATCATCTCGGCGACGCGGCAGCCGTTCAGACTCCGGACGCCCGGCTCGTCGACGTCGACGAGGTACTTGACATCGAGCACGTCAATGTCGACAGGAACGGCCGCAACGTTGAGCGTCGCGAAGAGCAGGTCGATCGAGATGCCAGAGAGCTTGAACTTGATCACGGGTACGTATGCGTCTGGGACGCTTTGCACGGACGCGACCTCGGGGTGCTCTTGAAGGCGCGAAGGAAACGTCTGGAAGAAGCTCGTGCGCAAGCAGTGTCGTGGCATGAGGCAGAGCGTGTCAATATCCGCCTCGGGGCTGTGCACGCCCAGGCGGTACGAGCCAAAGGTGCGGATCTGCGAGAAGCACGTCGCGGGCTCTTCCAGCGTCACGCCCAGCTTGGCCGCTTCGGCGGTCGCCCACTCTTCGACAAGCCCTCGGACGACGTCCAGCGCCTTCTCGCGCTGACGGCCACCGTCCTCGCTCTCGTGCAGGTTCCATTGTCTACACGTCGTGCTGGTCGTCGCCGCTCGTGTAGGTAGTCCAACGTACTTTAGCGTGTCGACGAGCGCGGCCGTGAGCTGGTGGTCGAAGGATGTCGGCGGCGCCTACGCGAAGCGTCAGCAGCGGGCGGCGATGCGCGCGCACCAGCGAGATCGGGGGCGTGATGCCATTGTTGCTGCCCAAGGCCATCGCTGCTGTTTCACTGGTCTTCAAGTGGAGGCTGTGATTGGCCGAAATGCAATTGCGGACTTTGGACCAATCCGTGCCATGGACGTTGTCGAGCGAGCCTGCGCGGCCTTTGCCGCGAGCACGTCGTCGGCCGAGCGCCAGGCCGCGGAAGAGGTCCTCATGGCCTTCAAGCAGAGCCCGAACGCGCGCGTCGACGCCCTCCACCTGCTCACGCACAGCAACGTGCCCCTCGCCCAGTTCCACGCGCTCACGACGCTGCGCGAGCTCAGCCTCCTGGACCGCGTCTCGCCCGCCGAGCGCTCGGAGGCCATCCACTTCTTGCTGCAGCACGCCTGCAGCGCCTACGCGCAGCTGCCTCCGTTCGTGGCGACGCCGCTCCTCGTGACAACGGCCGTCTTGATGAAGCGCAACTGGCTCGCGCTGCCCGCGCCCGACCGGCACCAGCTCCTCACCAACATTGCTGGCCTGTACCAGTCGACCGACGTGCCGCAGGCCAACCTCATTGCGACCAAGCTCCTTCTCGCGTTTGTCTCGGAAATGACGGGCGGCTCGGACAAGAAGGCGTCGGCGATGGGCCAGCCGCTGGCGTTCCACCAAGCGTGTCGCCGGGCGCTCGAGGACGACGGGCTGCGCGACATTTTGGCGCTGGCGCTGTCGCTCATCCAGCAGCCGCTCGCACCAGAGGTGCTCCACCACGCGTATCTTCTCTGCGTCGAGGTCCTTGGCTGGCACGAAATCATGAGCGATGGTCCGCAGAGCACCACGTCGTGCTTGATCGTTCTGCCCAACGACCACTGGAAGCCGCTGCTGCTGCAGCCAGAGACTTTGCTCCACGCGATGCAGCAGAGCTACACACAGTACCCGAACGAAGCCAACCTCCGGCACGCGATCCGCCAGTTCATTCTGCAGCTGGCGTCGCTCTCGGGCGGCCTCTTTGCGTCGACGGCCGAGCACCTCTCTTACCTCCAGAGCTTCTTTGGTCGAGCGCTCAGCCTCTTGGAGAACCACCTCGGAAGCGCGACGAAGGAAGCCGAGGTCATTGATCTGTGCCAGCTCACGCTGCGCATCTGCAGCAACTGGGGCTGCCTCAAGACAACCGAGATGGCGGCGCCGCTCATTGAAGCGAGCACGCGCCTCAGCTGCACCTTGCTGCAGCTCGCGATCGCAGACGCGGGCGAGACGTCGACGGCGTCGGACCTCTGGGAGATGGAAGGCCTCGACGTGCTCATGGACGCGTGGAGCATCGTCATTCGCCAGTGCGGCGACACGCACCCGAGCCTCCACAACGCGACCACGTCGGTCGTCTCGCTCTACTTGCAGCTGCGCCTTCGCATGTGCGGCCTCGACGCCGACGAAGACGAGCTCGACGACATGGAAGAGCAGGTGAGCAAGACCGTCGTGGAGCAGGTCGAGCTCGTTTCGGCGCTCGCCCGGCTTCAGCCGACACAGACGCTCACGCTCCTTCGCACACTTCTCGTACGCTCCGATAGCTGCCTCTTTGAATCATTGTGTTGTTTGGATAGACGGACGCGATTGCAGAGCGCGCGCGGTTCCCGCAGCCCGACGTCGCCAACCCCGCGTACAGCCAGCTCCTCGAGCGGCTGCATTTCCTCGTCCTCTTTTCCGGCATCGTCCTCGCCGACGACTACCATGGCGAGACGCCCGAGATGCCCCATTGCTACGCGGGCGTCGCGCCGCTCGTTGTCGACGTCCTCGGGCAGCTGGTGCAGCTGGTCATGGACGAGACGACCCAGTCGAGCGCCAGCCGGCGTCGCCCGCGCTGAGTCCGTTCCTCTCGGAGCAGCTCCTCCAGACGCTCACGCGCGTGAGCATGACGTACTTTTGCCGCGACGCGACGGCGATTGCAGCTGCGTTTCCGCCGGCGTCGATCGTGCAAGTGCTGCTGCAGACCGCGTCCGTGTACCTCACGTCGTGGCCGTCGCAGCCGCACGTGGTTGCAAACGTGGTTGAGAACCTCTTGACGCTTCCGAATACGACCGCCGCGACGCACGCGCTGAGCTCGCCGCCCTTTGAGACGCTCGTGCGTGCTGCGTTTACGCCGACCGATCCGACGCTGCGTCGCCTGCCGTCGCAAAGCCGTGGCAGCGTCATCGAAGCGCTCGTGCGCATCCTCGTCGTCTCGCCGTCATCGGCATGCAGCCTTGGACCGCTCACGGCGCCATGGCTCGAGGTCCTCCAGAGCCTCGCGGCGACGGCCAAGCCCAACACGGCCCATGAAGTCCAGGTCGAGCTGCTTCTGGAGATGCTCTCGGGCGTCGCGCGGGCGACGGAGAGCCGCAGTCACGGCTACATCACGCAGATCGTGTTACCCTTCTTTCCGATCGTTGTGCAGTTGCTCCACACGTACCACGGCGTCGCCGTCCTCGTCGCACTCGTGCTCAAGTTTGCGTGCGACTTTGTCGAGGCCAACCTCGCGTACGTCGAGGCGAGTGACGCGCTGTGCGTCTACAACGGGTGCCACGAACTCATCCGCACGTACTGCCGCTACAACCAAGGTGCGTCGACCCACAGCGCCAACGCCGAGGAGGAGAACTTTGAAGACGTGCTCATGCTGCTCACGCTGCTGAGCCACTTGGTCTCGAAGGACGTCATTGACTTTGCCGACACGACGACCTCGAACTCGGTACAACGAGGTTTTGAGATTGAGATTCACGACCGTCGATCTAGGCGACGATCGTTGCGGATGTGGTGTTTGCCGGCCTCCACCAAGTGGTTCCGCTCATGACGGCGGCCTTGCTGCAGTACCCGCGACTCAGCCTCCAGTATTTTACACTCGTCTCATACCTCGTGGACGTCTACCCCGAGAAGCTCTTGCTCCTCTCGCCGGCGCTCCTCGACATGCTTCTCCAGTCGCTCGTCGTCGGCATGCAGCACACGACGCCCGAGATCGTGCGCTATAGCTTCCAGGCGGTCGGCGAGCTCGCGGCGTACCACTACAAGCACCCGACACCCAACGCGGGCCTCTTCATGACGTTTGTCAACGGCATCTTCCGCATGCTCGTCTTCGAGAGCTGCGCCAGCAACGTCCTCGATGGCTGCGCCGTCGCGCTCTACCCGCTTCTGCTCTTGTTGCGCGGTCAGTTTTTTCAAATCGCCACCGACTTTTGCGCTGCCAACGAGATGGGCCCCGAGCTGCGGGAGCAGGTCATGGCGGCCTTTAGCCAGCTCAGCCAGCACGTCGTCGAGGGCGACTCGGTCGGCGCCACGCGCAAGCTCCGCGCGGCGTTCAAGTCGCAGGTCTACGCGTTCGCGGCCCATGTCCGCGGGTACATTCAGATGAAGTAGGACGTTGCCGTCAACGTCAACACGAGATCTTCAAACTACTTTTTTCTCTATTGACAAGGGCGCGTCTTACTTGGCAGCGTCCTTGGCCTGCTTCTTGGCGAGGATCTCCTTGTTCCATGCGTCGGCGTCGGTCGTCGAGAAGGACGCTTCCTTGTTCTTGTCGTAGAGGTACCAGCCCACGGCGAGGCCCGCCGCCGCCGCCCACGAGCCCACCCTAGCCACAGCAAGCATGCATGAGCAACCCATGCTGGCAGCTTCGGACGTCGTACTTGAAGGCGCGCGACTGCCCCGAGCCCCAGATCGTCTTCAAGAGGTCTGCCATCGCTTCCGTCGGTCACCGAAATCCAAATTCGACGCAAAAATAAGTTTGGCGGTTGGGTGGGCCTTTTATGCACCGACTGGCCAATGGCCTTGCGTCGATTCATGAATTTTGGCCAATGGCCTTGCGAAGTCCAGGCCGGAAGTTTTGTGGTGGCAGTCAAGAAATCGTCAGCATGGTCCGCATCGTCTGCAACAAGTTCCGCGCGTCGTCGCTCTTCGCCGCGGCCCCGAAGCTCATCAAGGGCCTCCCCGTGCACGCGATCAAGATCGCTGAGCCGACGGTCTCGGTCACCAAGGTCGCTAAGTACGTCGCCTCGACTCACGCCCACGACCTCATGTCTCTTCTGCCAACAGGTCGGTCGCCTTCAAGCGCACGATCGCCCACGCCACGAGCGCGACCCGTGCTGTGCCCAACGTCGAGAAGGCCTTCACGCGTGCTGCCTTTTAAATGTTACCCTAGACATGGCGAGCCCTTTAACCATTCGTTCGGTCAACAAGGGCCTCGTACTTCTCTTCCTGCTCGTTTTCTCGTGCCCAACTAGCGTACCAGCAGCTTGGCGTGGACGACACAGCCATGTCTGTTGCATCGACTGTTGTACCCTCGCAGAGATGTATGTTTTCGACCTGCAGGAGTCTATGGCCCTCTCAACACGCAGGCTCAAGGAACCGCCAATGCGACGATCTTACCGTTCATACCTTCAACAGCTCGACGTGTTCGACCATGTTGCACCAGTCACTGCGCTTGCTGTTGCATGACGGTGCGCTCACTGGCTTTACGCGGTTACCGGGATCCCACGAGCGCTTTGTCGTCGTCTGTGAGTGCGACGCGCCCTTGATCTTTCTACAAGTTGACGACCAAGGTCCTGCACCTAATCGGCCTCGAATGTAGATAGGACCAAGCCACCGTTGATGGTACAGCGAGCGTGTTCATTTGAATTGGTGTGTTGGATTATTGCATCAATACAAACGCTACAAGGGCAGTCGACAAGAACGTCCGAGGCTCCTAGAACTCGCAGGCGCCGCCGACTTGCGGAGAATGTCGACGGTCGCGTTGTAGCCTTGGCAGCGGATCTTGTTGGACTCGCGCGTGATCGAGTCGCGCAGCTTGATCACGTAGAGAAACTCGGTTGCGAGCGTCGTCAGCTTGCCATTCTCGAGAATGCCCGACACGTTCTCCAGACGCAGGCGCTCGGCGAGGACGTTGTGGATGCTGCTGAAGTACTGCGGCACGGTCTTTGCGAGCGTGTCGCACTGCTGGAAGAGCGGCATGGAGACGCAGATGTAGTCGGTGTTGACTAGCCGCGTCTCGGTCGTGAGCCCATTTGCGCAGTCGCCGACGGGCTTGCCCCACTCGATGGCCTCCGAGAGCTTGGACCGGAGGTACGAGGCTTGCGCCGGCGTCACGGATGCATTATTGAGGACGAGCGTCTCGAGGTACAGGTCGGCGTTGCGACCGGCCGAGTTGACCATGTCGGTCACTTGGTCGTTGGCGCGGTTGCACTCGGACTGCGCCTCGAGGTCGTTGCACGGCTTCTGGCGGTACTCATCCTTGTCCTCAAAGTAGTAGCGCTCGCAGTAGCACCGCGCGTTGCCAAGGACGACCAAACACGTGAGCAGCGTCAATACGAAGCGAAGCGGGAGCATTTGAATCCGGAGGGAAAAGCTGAAATGAGCTGCAAGCGACGGGATGCGAAGCCGGTGGGTTGTGGCTCTACGCGTCGCTCTGTGCAAGAGCTATCGTGAACGATGGATTGTGCACATGCAGGACGCTCATTCTGCCACGTTTTGCTTGTCGTTGCTCGGAGATTCAATGCTATCGTAGCATCCAGTATCTTGCATCTGGCACAATCAACCAGCACGCTGCTTGGTTGGATCTGGCTACGGCAGCGATATACGATCCTAAATGTCGCTGGAAGTGCTACTTGAACAGTGTAGTGTAGTGTCAATGACCCTACCCCTAGCCACGGATTCTTTGCAAAAGGTGCTTTGATCGATGTATAGAATTACAGATTAAACGTAGTCATGACGGCAAGCGTGGCTGTGACGAGAGAGAGTGTTGTGACGGTGCTCCTGGATTTGCGAATGATGTCGACGGTAGAGTTGTAGCCTTGACAGCGGATCTTGTTGGACTCGCGCTGGATCGTATCTCGGTTCTTCACGGCGGCGACGAGCTCGGCCGCAACTGCTGTCAGCTTGCCTTGCTCGACGATGCCGGGCACGGGGCTGGTGGCGCCGTCTGCGAGCAACCGGTCGGCGAGGACGTTGTGGATGTTGCTAAAGTACTGCGGCACAGACTTTGCCAGCGCGTCGCACTGCTGGAAGAGCGGCATCGAAAAACAAATGTCGTTCACACTGGCGAGGTGCGTGTTGGTCGCGAGGCCGTCGGAGCAGTCGCCGATGGGCTTGCCCCACTCGAAGGCTTCCGAGAGCTTGGACCGGAGGTACGAGGCTTGCAGCGCCGAGACCGTCGCGTTCCGGAGCAAGAGTCCCTTGAGGAAGTTGTCGGCGTTGATGCCAGCCGAATTGACCATGTCGGTGACCATGGCGTTGGCGCGGTTGCACTCGGATTGGGCCTCAAGGTCGTTGCACGAGCTGCGCTCGTAGCCGCTGGCCGACGACCCGCAGGGTGGGAAGCTGCAGATCGGCGGGCAAAAGCACCGGGCTTCGGCGAGCGCGACGATTAGGAGCAGCAGCGTCCAGAGCAGCGGTGGCAGCATTCTGGTAACTGGTCGAAATGTGAAAATGATGCAACACCGTAGCAGCAGATGTGCCCGATTCGTTGTCGTAGCTGTTGAATTTCCCGCCAGATGGCACCAGAATGATGGTCGGCGTGTCGAACGACCTCGATGCACTCGCCAAGCGAATCTCCGAGTCCCTGGCTTTGAAGCCCACTGTTAGGTGCAGGAGACCGGAGCAACCGAACATCAAAGATTGTCGTTCGCTCGACAAGAAGCGTCGGCGAGCTTTTGAGCGTCGAGACATTTACCGTTTTGGCCCATGACTCAGCGATTTGTTCTTTCGAGTATATACCTAGCGGCGGCTGTGGACGGTCGATGCTATTGCGGAGTCCCCGCTGCGTGCAACGACCTCGAGGCGCAGTCCGAGTGCAACCGCGCCAACGACCAAGTGACCGACATGGTCAACTCGGCCGGTCGCAATGCCGACCTGTACCTCGAAGGTCTTCTCTTTAAGAACGCATCCGTGACGCCGGCGCAAACGTCGTACCTCCGGTCCAAGCTTTCGGAAGCCTTCGAGTGGGGCAAGCCCGTCGGCGACTGCTCCGACGGCCTCACCACGAGCACACACCTCGCCAACGCCATCGACATTTGCGTCTCCATGCCGCTCTTCCAGCAGTGCGACGCGCTGGCAAAGTCCGTGCCGCAGTACTTTAGCAACATCCACAACGTACTCTCGGAGCGGCTGCTCGAAGACGGCGCCACCAGCTCCGTGCCTGGCATTCTCGAGAATGACAAGCTGACGACGCTCGCAACCGAGTTTGTCCACGTGATGAAGGTCCGCACCTCGATCACGCGCGAGTCCAACAAGATTCGCTGCAAGGGATACAACGCGACCACCGAGATTCTGCTTCGGCCGTCGTCTGCTTGGACGAGCCAATTGTCTTTCGCCGCCATCGCGGTGCTCGTTTGGTTTTTTCCTCTAATGTCCTAATTCAATAAGTTCTAATTGTTTACGGCGATCCTGCTTCTCAGTGGCCGCAAACGAGCACGTTGGAACGCGCATCGTCACACATTTGGCGTTGGAGAACATCTTGCGACCTCGCAAGTTCAACGTTCGGTTGTTGCGTGAGTTGTCGCGTGTTGCTGGGTTGTCGTCGCCTGACATTACCGACCATCATTCTCAAGATTCAGCCAGAAAACCTGCAGGAACATCGACGATGTCACTTTGCCTTTTTCCTCCCAATGGTCGCACTACTGCTCGTGTTGGCTTTGCTCGCGACGCTCGTTGACGCGCGCTGCTACTGCCCGCCGCAGTGCAGCTTCCCTGCCTGCACGAGCAAAAGCGACTACCGACGCAGCTCGTGCAACGACCTCGAAGCACAGTCCGAGTGCAACCGCGCCAACGACCAAGTGACCGACATGGTCAACTCGGCTGGCCGCAACGCCGACCTTTATCTCGAAGGTCTTCTTTTTAAGAACGCATCTGTGACGCCGGCGCAAGCCTCGTACCTCCGGTCCAAGCTCTCGGAGGCTATGGAGTGGGGCAAGCCCGTCGGCGACTGCGCAAATGGGCTCACAACCGACACGCACCTCGCGACCATCAACGACATTTGCTTTTCGATGCCGCTCTTCCAGCAGTGCGACGCGCTGGCAAAGTCTGTGCCGCAGTACTTTAGCAACATCCACAACGTCCTCGCCGAGCGGCTCTTGGCCGAAGAGCTCAACAACACAATCTCTGGCATCGTCGAGAAGGGCAAGCTGACGCCGCTCTCGACCGAGTTTGTCCAAGTGATCAAGCTGCGCGACTCGATCCAGCGCGAAGCCAACAAGATTCGCTGCAAGGGCTACAACTCGACGGTCGAAATCATCCAAAACAGCGCCGGGACGACCTCGACACTGCGCATGACGGTCCTCTTCCTCACCGCCATCGCCTTCCTCTACGCATTCTAACATTATAACCTATCAATAAGAATAAGATTCGCACACAACCCGACGACACGAGCCCGTGGACAGCAGCGACCACGGTCTTTTATCCGGCCGTCCGGATACAAAGGGGCGACACCAAGAAGCCTCCTGCGACGCTCTGCCCTGCCAAGGTAGGAGCATAGCTAGAGACCTCAGCTAGAGACCGCTCTGCTATCCTGTGCACGCACTGGTATCTCGAAGGAGAGATTCAGTGGCGACGTCTCATCATTCGGCGCAAAAGCAGAGACGAAATGAGCCACGATACGGTCGCTTGGCGGACGATCTTGGTCATTTGGCTGCTGGCTCTCCTCACTCGCGCACTCTCCTATACAAAAACCAAGATGCGAGCCGTCCTTGTCCTCTCTCGGGTGGCGATCGAACAAAAATATTTGGCAAGATCCGGCTGCTTCACTTTCGAATCCTGCGGTGACGACGACACGCCTGATGGACGGACTCGGACGGCAACGCACGCTCTACGACGAAGGCCTCGGCCTGCTCCACGAGGCCATCGCCGCGCAGGCCGCTGGCGACCACGCGGCTGCGGACGCCAACTTTGCCCGCGCCCGCGCAGTCTTTGAGCAGGCCGTGAGCTTGCGCTTCGAGCGCATTTCCGAGAAGCAAGCCGCCGCGCCGCTCGCCGCCAAGATGGAGGCGTACCTGCGCATGCTCTCTTCGCCGACGAGCCGGGGCACGCACTTTGACGTCAACATCCTCGACATGCGCGCGCTGCCACCGCGCTTCCAGAGCGTCCACGCCGCCTACACTGCGTGCGTCCCCCTGCATCTTGTATCTGAATGGCTCACATGGTTCTAGGTGCCCGGGTTTTGAGGGCCGCGACGTCTTTGACGCGCTCCAAGCGGCCTTTGGCTTCCAGCCAAGCAGCGTTGCCAACCAACGGGAGCACGTGACGCTGCTGCTGACCAACTTTTGCGCGCACCTGAGCACGCCCGAGGAGCCGGCGACCGTCGAGGCCGCGGCCGCCAAGTTCCACACGCGGCTCTTTGGCAACTACACCAAGTGGTGCGGCTTTGTGGGTGAGAAGCCGCGGACGTCGTCGTCGCCACTCGTTGACATCGTGCTCTTCTTCCTCATGTGGGGCGAGGCGAGCAACTTTCGCCAAACGCCCGAGCTGCTCTGCTGGCTCTTCCACCACCTCGTCCAAGACGTCCGTCGCGACCACGCGGACGCGCCGTTCCTTGACGCGTGCATCACGCCTCTGTACCTCGAGCTCGCCAAGGAAGGCGACAAGAAGACGCCCCTCGGCGCGCGGGCGCCGCACATGGAGATGCGCAACTACGACGACGTGAACGAGTTCTTTTGGACCAAGACATGCCTCAAGTACACGCCTGCAACGATCGCGGAGGCCATGGCCAGCGTCGACAAGAAGGGCCGCCCGAACGTCGTGACCAAGACGTTCCTCGAGCGCCGGTCGTGGCTGCGTGCGCTGCTGTCGTTCCGGCGCATCTTCCTCACCAACATCCTCCTCTTCCTCGCGACCGTCGCGTTTGCGCTCAACATGGTGTTCCTCTGCCCGGACAACCCGATCATGTACTCGGAAAACGTCTTGCGCAACGCGTCGGCCTTTGGGAAGCTCTACGCCGCCGCCAAGCCCGGGCTCGAGAACTTTGACGAGCGCAGCTACTTCTTAGACGCGGGCGCAGACATGACGGAGACCAAGTGCAACGTGCCCAAGCTCGCGACGTGCCTCGGCATCGAGCTCATCACCGAGACGTCGTTCGGGACGCTACCGCCCGACTTTCGCAGTCTCATGAGCGACGTGCCGTTCACGCACTGCCTCGACCTCACCTCTGGGCGCTGCACGTGCTACTTGGACCTCCTCGACGCGTGCTTTGCGCAGAAGGGCAAGGCGACCGTCTACGCCGATGGCACCGATGCGACGCTTGCCAGCGAAAAGTCAGTTATTGTCTACGACAACAAGAACTGCTTGCCCAAGTGGCGCAAGGCCGCGATGAACGCGATCTTGCTGCGCAGCGACGGGCAGCTCAACTGCGCGGCGTGCCAGTGGTCGCTGACCACGGTCCTCGGCGCGATCCCGCAGTTTGGCCAGCAGCTGCTCGACTTTAAGCGCAAGGACATGGGCCCACTCATGCTGCTCGCGAGCGGCGGCTGCATCGGGCTCTTGGTCGTGTGGCAGCTCTTCAACCGGCTCTTCTCGCGCATCGGCATTGGCTTTGTGGGGCGGTCGCTGTACGTGCCGCTGCGCGTCGAGTGCCGGTACACGTGCTTTTGGCTCTTCCTCTTCAGCGTCAAGCTGCTCTTTGACTACCGCTTCATGGTCAAGAGCCTCGTCGAGACGTCGCTCTTCATCTACGTCTCGGACCCGACCGAGTACCTCAAAGTGTCGTACTTTATGCTGCAGGTGCCGATCTACAATTTCCTGTACATTGCGTTCCTCTGGGCCCCGGCGTTCCTCGTGTTCCTCTACGACGCGCAGATCTTCTACGCCATCTTCTCGGTGCTCTACGGGTCCGTCGCCGGCTTCAACCTCAAGATCGGCGAGCTCCGGTCCTTCTCCGTGCTCCGCGCGGCCTTTGGGTCGATCCCCAAGGTCTTCAACCGCAAGATGGTCCCGAACCTCGTAGAGCCACTCAAGGACAAGTCGGCCAAGAAGACCAAGAAGATGCGCTCGGACGCCGACGGCCCCGGCCCCGAGCGCCATTTCAAGACCATGGACGCGAACGGCGCGTCGCCACTCACGATCGCGACCCACGCCTACAGCGCGCTGCTCGAGCAGGACGTGCTGAGCGACCGCGCCACCGAAGTGCTCTCGGTGGACGACGTGCCGCTGGACGAACGCCTTGAGCGCGAGTCATCGACATCGTCGAGCGGGTCGGTCAAGGCGTTGGATGCAGTCTTTGGGCTCACCGGCGCGGCGTACGAGCGCTCGATTCCGTTTGCGATGGCGTGGAACCAGTGCCTCGTCTCGATGCGGGAGGCCGACGTGCTCAGCAACCGCGAGCTCAGCGTGCTCAGCTACCTCGTTGACGCCCAGCGCCTCTACACGCCCGTGTTCCTCACGGCCGGCAAGCTCGACGAAAGCATCAACATCGTGCTCGAGTGCGCGGCCGTCTTTGCCAAGCTCGAGAAGGACAAGAAGAAGACCAAGGCGCTGGACAAGGTGCAGGCGTCGATGCTTGCGCGCCTGAGCAAGGACCCGCTGCGCCTCCAAGCCATCTTTGGCTCGTACATTTTCACGTCCAAGGTTCTCAAGCTGCTCATCGGCGACCGCCACCCAGAGCTCCACAGCGTGTTTGCGTTCGTCGAAGAGACGGTTTTGACGCAGAACGTGCTCAAGGGCCTCGAGCTCTCGGAGCTCCACGCCGTGCGCTCGACGTGCGCGCAGCTCATGCGTGCGATCCAGGCCACGGCCAAGACGTCGCCCGAGGCCGTCGACCGGGGCTTGCTCAAGGTCCTCGAGCTCCTCCAGAGCCTCTTTGCGCTCTTCAAGAAGGTCGTGCGCAAGCAAGAGCACCTCGTGGAGCTCCTCCGCGGCAAGGCCGCGACGTTCCTCACCGCGTCGAGTGAGTACATGCGCGAGCAGCTCTCGTCGCTCCTGCTCGACGAAGCCGCCATGGACATTGTCTCGCGCGCGTTCCAGCTGCTCACGGTCGACAACGTGGACGCCGAGCCGCGGTCGCCCGAGGGCCAGCGCCGCCTGCGCTTCTTCGCCAACTCGCTCTTCATGGCCATGCCCGAGGCCAAGCCGATCGAGCAGATGCACTCGTTCTCGATCGCGACGCCGTACTTTAACGAGATCGTCTTGTACTCGGTGGACGAGCTCACGGCTGAGAACGACGACAGCATCCGGCTGCTCTACTACCTCCAGACGATCCACCCGGTCGAGTGGACGGCGTTCCTCGAGCGCATCCACGCAAAAGACACGGCGGACGCGCTCGCCAATAGCCCGGAGGAAGTGCAGCTGTGGGCCTCGTACCGCGGCCAGACGCTCGCGCGCACGGTGCGCGGCATGATGTACCACGAAGACGCGATCCGGTTCCTCGCGTGGCTCGAGGTCGGCGAGAACGCGCCGATGCACGTGAGCGGCTGCCGCTGCAACCGCTGCGTGTACCTCGACGAGATGGTCGCGCTCAAGTTTAGCTACGTGTGCACGTGCCAGATCTACGGCCAGCAAAAGGCGTCGCGGCTCCAGCAAGCGCTCGATATCGACGTGCTCCTCAAGCGGCACCCGGGCTTCCGCGTCGCGTACGTCGACAAGACCAAGGCGGGCGTCGAGGGCCCGGTCACGTACGCGTCCGTGCTGCTCCGTGCGGTCGGCGACCTCATCGTCGAGGTGTACCGCGTGCAGCTGCCGGGCAACCCGATCATCGGCGAGGGCAAGCCGGAGAACCAGAACCACGCGGTGATCTTTACGCGCGGCGAGTTTGTCCAGGCCATCGACATGAACCAGGACGGGTACTTTGAAGAGTGCCTCAAGATGCCCAACCTCCTCGCGACCGTCGACGACGCCAAGCACAGCCCCAAGGCGCCCGTGACGATCATTGGCTTCCGCGAGTATGTCTTTACGGGTGGCGTCTCCAACTTGGCCAACTTTATGCAGATCCAAGAGCTCTCGTTCGTCTCGCTCGGGCAGCGCATGCTCGCGCTCTTCCACGTGCGGCAGCACTACGGCCACCCGGACGTCTTTGACAAGATGTTTGCGATGACGACCGGTGGCACGGCCAAGTCGTCCAAGGGCATCAACCTCTCGGAGGACATTTTCGCCGGCTTCAACTCGACGCTCCGCGGCGGCCGCGTCACACACGAAGAGTTCATCCAAGTCGGCAAGGGCCGCGATGTCGGCATGCAGCAGCTCGCGCTCTTCGAGGCCAAGCTCTCGTCGGGGGCGGGCGAGTGCGTCACGTCCCGCGACGCGATGCGCATGGCCAGCCGCCTCGACTTTTTCCGGCTCCAGTCGTGGTTCTACGGCAACCTCGGCTGGTATTTCACGCAGACCATGACGGTCTTTGCGATTTACGCGTTTATCTACGGCAAGATGTACTTTTGCCTCTCGGGCATGGACAAGTTTTACCTCGAGACGGGCCGCATGGGCATCTCGGGCGTCCTCAACACGTCGTGGGCGCTCCAGTTCGGCTTCCTCTTGGTCGTGCCGGTCATTGCGGTCGTCGGCGTCGAGCGCGGCTTCCGCCACGGCATCACCTACCTCCTCTGGAACATCATGACGCTCGGCCCGCTCTTCTTCACGTTCCAGATGGGCAACCGCATGCACTACTTCGACCGGACGCTCATCCACGGCGGCGCCAAGTACCGCGCGACCGGTCGCGGCTTTACGATCAAGCACGAAAAGTTCGCCGAGCTCTTTCGGTTTTACGCGTTTAGCCACTTTTACCGCGGCGTCGAGCTGATTGTGCTGCTCCTGATTTGGCGCAGCTACGGGACGTTTTCGTGGTGCAACTGCTCGTGGACGCTCGACATGAGCTACTACAAGGGCACGCAGCCGCTGCCGGCCGAGTGGACCAAGCGCTGCTTTGCCGCCCACTACCAAGAGTGCGTCGCGCCGACGGAGCAGAGCTACGGCATCATGAGCTACTCGCTCTGGCTCGTGGCCGCCACGTGGCTCTGGTCGCCGTTCATCTTCAACCCGAGCGGCCTCGACTGGGACAAGGTCATTGAAGACTACCGCGACTGGCAGAACTGGCTCCAAACCAAGAACGACTCGAGCCAGAGCTGGCTCGGCTGGTGGACGTCCGAGGTCTCGGCGCTCGAGCACTCGACGCCGTTCGCGCGCCTTGTCTTTGTCCTGCGCAAGACGCGCTTCTTCTTCCTCGCCGTCGGCATCTACCTGCACCTCATGTACCGCGTGGTCTACTCCAGCCGCAACGCATCGGTCGCGACGGACGCCAAGACGAGCTCGACGCTCGACCTCTTCACGCCGTACATCATCCTCGGCGCCTTTTTTATCACCCTCTTGGTCCTTGTGTGCTGCGGCTACGCGGCCAACCGCGTGACCAAGCGCTGGAACAAGTCGTTCAAGCAGAAGCGGCTGCGCCGGTTCAAGTTTGATCTGAGCATGCTGGCGCTCACTTGCTTTGTGTTTGTGCTGCTCTTCTTCATCAACATGTCGGACGTGCTCGAGGGGCTCCTCGTGCTCGGGATCCTCGCCTACTGGTTCCTCCAGGTCATGCTCGGCCGCCTCAAGTACTCGCACGTCATCATCGAAACGATGGCCGGCGCCGTCGACGTCGCAATCGGCTGGATCGTCTTTGGCCCAATCCTCTTCATCGCCATGTTCATGCCCTTCCTCGCCTCGTTCCAGCAGCGCGTCATGTTCAACTCGGCGTTCACGTCCGGGCTCGAAGTCGCCAAACTCCTCTCCAACGACGCCAACAAGTCCATGCCCAAGAAGCGCACCGACTAGTCCCTTGGCTTTGCATGTAACTTGCATACAGACACTTTTGTACATGAATTCGTGGTGGCAAACATTGTCTTATCTTGTGTTTCGTGCTGCCGTCGGTTGTCGGTAGCGTCTGATTGGATGTTTACTGCAACGCTGGATGCCCCGTGGCTGGATTTCTCGATGGTATTTCATCCAATCAAAACACACAAAAAGCTCGCAGCCACGTCGTGAGGTTGTGCAACCGAGCCAGGTGGACGGACGGAGGATGCTACGACGGCTGGCAACGACGCGCGCTTGCAGAAGCCGCTGGACAGCGCAAGGCCGGGGCCTCTCGACCATGGGCGGCGTGAGCCCTGGCATCCGCGCGGCCGTGGACGAGTTTGAGGTGCGACGCGTCGAGGTCGGCCGGGGCCGCGATACAGTATCTTGCTGCTAGCGCAAGAAGGGCGGCTTTCGCGCCGACCACACGCACCGCGTGTCGACGCGCCACATCTTCGCCAACAACCAGCTGCGGTAGCCTCGCGTGTGGTGCCATGGCGACTCATGCTGGCGGAGTAGGCTCGAGCAGATCGACGTCGTCGGCTTTGGTGCGCTGCGTCTCCTTCATTGCCGCTGGACGACGTCCAATGCGTAGACTACGACTACACGCTGTGCCACTACACGGTGGAGCTCCAGCGCCTCATCTACGACATGGCCAAGCACACGCTCGTACGCGTGTTACCTGCGCTCCTGGAGCTGACGTGGCACATGCAGGTGGAGCGGTATCGGTACCCCGACGGGCTGCTCGCGCTGCAGTTCGACCCGTCGTTTGCGATACGAGGCCTCGCGATCGACAGCGAGAAGGCGCTTCTGTGCAAGATCAGCTCGCACCAAAAGCTGTCGTACACGGGTGCGTTTGTGCTTTCATCGGTCGCCTCATGACGGCAACAGGCGTCTTTCGCGGGCGGCAGCGCCTCTCCAAGCACGAGATTCTGCAGCTCTACCACGGGTCCCGCCACATCCCGATCTCGTACCGCGACCGGTCGATGAAGCCGCTCAACGACCTCTTCTCAGTCGCACACGCGTGTCTCTTTGCGGATGTGATCCAGTTCTTTATGGACAAAAGCATCACGTTTGAGCCACGCGCCGTGCACGAAGTACGCTCCTGCGTGCGATATGGTGCTGCAATCGCGTAGGATATGGATGCAGCGATTGCCGACGTGCACACGAGCGGCCGCATGCACAAGGCCGTCGTCAAGAACTTGCCCAAGTACATGGAGCCCAACAAGAAGCTGCGGACGCTCCTCGAGCGCTACACGGTGCGACGCGGTTGCTATCGACAATTCCTCGCCAGAATGTACGATAGGACGAGGGGAAAAAACTGTTTGTGCTGACCAACAGTTCGTTCCGGTACATTGACGCGGGGCTCAAGTACATGGTCGGCGACGACTGGCGCAAGGTACAGTACTCTTATTTCTCGCTATTTTGGTGAAATTTCACGGATTTGGAGTTCGTAGTTTTTCGAAATTACGCTCGTGAGCGCCAAGAAACCGGATTTTTACACGCGCTACCGCACCTTTCGGCTCTTTGACGTCGACCAGCGCCAAGTGCAGTGGCAAGCGGTCACCCGCCTCGAGCCCAACCACGTGTACACCCAAGTACGTTCCTTTATGATTGCGTTTCAAGTTGCCAACAAGGGAATGATGTATTGTAGGGCAGCTTGCGGCAACTGATCATGCTCAAGGGCTGGGGCGGGCGACGCGTGCTCTACATTGGGTCCGTCTCCATCTCTCTCGACGAGAACTTATGCGGCGTAGCGACAGCCTCTTTTCCGACTTGGTCGAGCCCAACCGCATCCTCGGGTGGCGCACCGGTGCCATCATCCGCGAGCTCGAGACGGAGATTTCGATCCAGTCGAGCGACGCGTACCAGGCGCTGGCCTACGAGGTGCTGCAATTCTTCTGCTTCTTTGGCGACGAAGGCTGCGTAGCACGCGCTCGTGGAAGACCTCTTGCGCCACGTGCAGCGTCATTTGTACAACGAGCAGTACGACGAGGTGGCTTTTTTACATTTTTGTTTTCGTTTTTATGACGAGATTCTTAGAACATTGCGCTCTACAACGAGTACATTGCAGTGCACTCGTCGCTCCAAGAGCGCATGGAGGCGCTGATCAACCCGAACTTTGGCTCGGTCTTCCGCGTCGAGTCGCATCCATCGCAGTTTGCCTTTTCCGCCCAACGGTCTGCCAGCGAGATGACAATATTGGTACCAATTCAATCTTAGATACGTCGACATTTACAGTTCGCGGCTCAAGAACCTCCTCGAGTACCCCAAGACGTACACCTTCTTTCCCGAGCGCACGCGTCTCCCGCACGACCCGACGCTGCAAGCACCTCGCTAGTGTCGTCTCGATACATGGATACACAAACACGAATTATTCGATTACCGATTGACCCAGTGGATGACAACCCGTCCAAGTGAAAAGAGTGCATCTTTGGCCCAGAGGAGGCGTACCACTGTGCCCATGATGACTAATCAAGGCCAAACTCATTTAACGCAATCATGTGTTTGACCTCTTTAAAGCAACAAGTCTGTTAAGGAGTGCGTCGAAGCGTCGATTACGTTTTTGTCACTGAACGAAGAGACTCAAACGCTCCATGCCCGGAACGGCCGCAAAGGTCGTGGGTCCGTCGCCGTCAACAGATCGCTGCTCATCATTTTTACAGCAATAAATCAATTTCGAGCGTCAGAAATGGCTGCTCCAGCTCTCGCGACCCGTCATATTGCGCCAACGAGCTCCGATTTGGGGTCGGGGCCACTCAAAGTGGGCTTAAATGGACGTGTCTTGGTCGCTGAACCATTTGAAGTTCGTCGTCCTTTCGAATATTGGCGCATTGTTTTTACAAATTCGGTGTAAAAATAGCCACCAGTCGCTATACATAAATCGAATGAGAGTTTGCAATGCGCTACCATTTAATTCGTCTAAATATTCACACAAAAAGTATCCGAGCGCCACTCATAGGCTGCTGTGTGCAGCTAATGACTACTGTCGTGGGGATATGTACGGCTGCTCCAACGCATCAAAGACCATTTTTACAGCAATAAATCGATTTCGAGCGTCAGAAATGGCTGCTCCAGCTCTCGCGACCCGTCATATTGCACCAACGAGCTCCGATTTGGGGTCGGGGCCACTCAAAGTGGGCTTACTCGCGAATTCGGAAGCTTTTTTCACATTTCGGCAAATTTTAAAAATGACCCTCAAGCTCGCCGGCAAGGTCGCGCTTGTCACGGGCGCGTCCCGGGGCATCGGCCGCGCGATCGCCGCCAAGCTGGCGCAAGATGGCGCGTCCATCGTCCTCAACTACGCGACCAACGAAGCCGACGCCGTCGCGGCCGTCGAAGCCACCAAGGCCCACTTCACGCTCCCGTCACAGCGCGCGATCCACGTCCGCGCCGACACGGCGGTCTACGCGCAGTGCCGGCACCTCATTGACGAGACGATTGATGCGTTCGGACAGCTCGACATCCTCGTCCTCAACGCCGGGGTCCTCATCAACCACAGCCTCGCTGAGATCACGGAAGGTAGCAGCTCTATTGTCGATGGCAAGTAGATTTTTTTGGATAGAGTCGTTTGACCGCTCGATGAATGTCAACGTCAAGGGCCCGCTCTTCCTGACGCAGATTGCATCGCCCAAGCTGCCGGAAGGCGGGCGGGTCATCTTTATTTCGTCAACGCTCACGGCCTTTAGCGGGATCATGCCCAACTACGCGCTGTACGCGACAACCAAGGGCGCTGTCGAGCAGCTCTCGCGCACGTTGGCCAAGGACCTCGGGCGCCGGGGCATCACCGTCAACACCATATCGCCGGGTCCGACGGCCACGGAGCTCTTCTTCAAGGACAAGTCGGACGAAACCATCGAGATGTTCAAGCGGTTGGCGCCGACGGGCCGCCTCGGGGAGCCCGACGACATTGCCAACGTCGCCGCGTTCGTGGCGGGTCCCGACTCGGCGTGGGTCAACGGCCAAAACATCCGCGCAAATGGCGGCTACGTCGTCTAGGACCGCTTTCTAAGCGAACATTGGACTGGTGTTTACAGCGTAGATCTTAGTCTTTGCATACTCATGACCATGTCGGTCCTGCGATGTGGCATTTTCGAATCTGTGTCCGATGGGACAGGCGGGACATGGACCTTTGTGTAGCCAATCACAGGCGAGTATATACTTCAACTTGACGAGGATTGGCTGGATTGGCCGCGATGCAAGATCGCAACAGTTCGATTTTTGAGATGCAAACCACGTACCCGCCGCTGCTGCCGACGACGTACGGGACGTCGGGCGGCCCGCCGATGGCTGCGACGTGGCGGCTCTCGCACCTCCTCCTCCTCGTGAACGTCATTGGCTTCCTCTCGATGGTACTGCTGGGCCTCGCGCTCTTCCCACGGGCGTCGCCGCCCGAGCCGCACCGTAGCAGCGAGCTCGGTATTCCCTTGGCCCTTCTGCCGCCCAAGTGGGCGGCTGCAGACGTGACGCCGTACAAGAGCCAGATGGGCCGCGGGACGTGCTGGGACTTTGCCTCAATCGGGTACCTCGAATGGTCGTACCGGGCCGAGGGCCATCGCCGCGGGTGGCTGGCGCCCACCGAGTACGTTGCCTTCTCCGAGCAAGCGTACGGCATCTCTGTCATGCGTCTCTGCGACGGCCCCGCGAATTCGCCGCAGCAGAAGAACTGCCGCATCGCGGGCGACCAGGTCCGTCGCCATCCGCTGCATATGCTTCGTGACACGCGTGTAGGTGTGGAACCACTCGACCGAAGGCGGCGAAGTTGTGAACCTCTACTACCTCGAGAACGGTCTCCGGCGCCAAGTCCTGCCGCACAGCGTGTGCCCGTACACGGTCCTCCCGGGCAACGACAGCGCCTGTCCTGGCTTCAACGAGTCGCTCGCTCACAACCCGCTGCGCTTTCGCGTCAAGGTACGTGCTGCAACACCCCATGAGATCGTGTCATCGTCGACGCGGCAGGCGGTCCATTCGTTCTACGACGACCTCAGCATCAAGAAGCGGCTCGCGTCAACGCAAAAGGTGCTCGCGTTCTCGACGCCGATCGTGTCGGTGCCGCACTTCCTCCCGAGCACCGGGCCGACCTGCGCACCGTGTCCGCGGTCGCTCTGGCCGCACGTCTGCTGCGTCCGCTCGAACGACACGCTCAAGAACAGCGGGCTCAACATGCAAGGCGAGTTCTACCACGCGCCTGAGATGACCTTCTCGGGCGGCCACGCCATGCTGGCGGTCGGCTACAACGACGCCTTCATGACGCAGGAGGGCCACACGGGTGGTTTTATTCTCAAAACTCGTGGGCCGATAGCCCGACGCGCAACTCGCACTCGATCGCGTACTTTTCGCAGACCATTTCGTACGACGACGAGCTCAGCGTGTGCCCCAACAGCTACAAGTAAGAGCTTATTTCGATGGAAGTGAGTCGTCGTCATAGCTGGCTAGTCCGCTCAACTGGCTCACGTGCCAAAGCCTCGACGAGTGTCTGGCCCTTGACGGCAGCGAGAGCCTTCGCCCGCTGGAACTCCGCCACGCGAATCGATCCACGACCCAGTACCTCAAGAACGTGACGCTCGGCGGGGACGCGATGGCGACGCTTTGTCTCTGGGACCACGACAACGTGACGCAGGTCGGGACGGACTGGTGCTTGCCGCCCATGCAGCTGACCACCGTCACGACGCTTATCGCGTACGGCGTGATTTCTTGCAGATGAGTAGATGACACTGCATATAGGCCATGGCACGTGCGACCTAATGACCCGGCGCAGTGCGGCTTCTACTTTATGCCGTACGAGACGCTTCGGCAGTACCAAGCCAAGTTCCACAGCATCAAGGCGTTTGATTTTGACGTCGAGTGGCATCCGCAGTCGTTCGCAGCCAACGCCGCAGCGTACCCGACCCTCGACTACGCGGCCGTACTGGCGTCGACCGCGACGCAGATCGTCCAGAGCTTTGATGGGCCGTTCCCGTTCTCGAGCCACATTGACTTTGTCGACGACATGTGGACGGCGTAGACACCACTCGTGCATTGAAAAATGTTATCAAAATTGTTTTTTCTCTGCAGCAAGTGTCTTGGCTACAGGACTCCACCGCAGCTTCAACATCGCAGATAGGTACTGTACCGTAACTACGCTGCCGACGACGTTGGGATCTGTCGCCACACGAAATGCGGTACGAACGGTGAGCGAGTGATTGGCTTGACCTAGCTGTGCCACGTCACGGAGGATCTTTGCTGAACAGATGCTGACCACAGGCGGAAGGGCAGCCAAGAGGATCGTCACATCGTTCAGTGCTAGCAAAGTACATCGTTGGCGACGGCCTCGCATTCATTGGCGTAGATTCTGGCTTATAGGTTTCGATTCCACCACCGTGTACCTCAAAGTAGACAATGGAACTGGTGGGCTTGGTTCGAGGACCCAAGCATCGATGCACGCAACTTCAACGTCGGTGACTCTCGGCAGCCACGTCGTTCCGTACATTGAAGTACATTGTACTGCGGTAGCAAATCACAATTGTGGTCCTAAAAAGCTGGTCTGCGAGGTCGAGCTACCCTCGTCATTACTGATTGCAACAACTGCGCGCACGTGGATATCGGCCACGAATCTGTTCCGCCCAACCTCCAAAACACTTGGTCGCAGCAAACGTCATTCGACCGCACGTTCTCCATGACGTGGCAGTGCGAGATTCAAGAAGAGCAAGAGCGTCACGCACAGATTCGGTGACATGCTGGTTGGGTTGGCCCGCCTCGAAACTGGCTCCGACTGCAACGCGCACTAATAGCACTCGAGCACATTTTCAATTTGGATTAGATCGTGCCGGCCCATGGTGCTGCTCGAGGACACCTTAATCCGCGCCTCACGGCACGCGGGCCCGCACCTCGCCCTCGACGTTGAAGTGCTTCGAAGGATCATCGACCAAGATCAAGTGCGGCGCCATGGCCGCCGCGCCATCGTCAACTTGTTCAAGGACCCAACGAATTCCGACCCCATAGGAATTGGTTAGGTCCTTGAACAAGTTGATGATGGCGCGGCGGCCATGGCGCCGCACTTGATCTTGGTCGATGACCCTCCGAAGCACTTCAACGTCGAGGGCGAGGTGCGGGCCCGCGTGTCGTGAGGCGCGGACTAAGGTGTCCTCGAGCACCATGGGCCCGGCACGATCCAATCCAAATTGAAAATGTGCTCCAGTGCTAGTGCTCGTTGCAGTCGGAGCCAGTTTCGAGGCGGGCCAACCCAACCAGCTCGTAAGTACCGCTTCCGTCGATGGCCTTCGGATTTGTGACATGACGGCTTGAAGTCAACCGACAAGACCTCCGGCTCATCGCAGTGAGAGCGAAGCACACATTGCAACAAGGCAGCCAGTGCTTGATTGTGTCCCCAATTTAAGCTCCCACACTAATGCATGTAAGCTGGTATGGTGCGAGAACAGCTCAACTACGCTCTTGAGCCAGGTGACCTTGCATGCATATCCAACGCTTGGTCGAGGCGCAAGAGCTTCTAGAACCACAGTCTGAGAGCCAAAAGAGTCACGCATGGATAGGCTGGGCCATACCTACAGCGACGTCGCGTGAGCGCCTCGGCATGAGGCCTGTACACGGCTTACCACGTACCACGTGCCTGGGCTGGTGGCGCTGCGATGACCGGTTGGAGAACTGCAGCAAGAACACTGGTGATTGGTGCCAAAGTAAATTGCTTGTCGCTCTGATTGGCTGAAACGCTTTCACCTGGCGTTGATGAAAATGAGGGAGACCGACGCAGAACGCTGCATTGCGACCGAGCGATACCTCGTGATGGCGTATGCGTAGAGACTGTTGATAGAGTCTCCTCGAGCACAATGCAGCAGCGTCAGTGGTGCCCGAGGAGCCTCGGCGTCGTCTTTCTGGCGTCGCCGGTCGTTACTATTGGCGTTCGCCATTTACAACCATAAATAACCATATTTTGCTTCACAGGCCCGCCGCGCCGGCGGATCGACCAAAATGAAGTTTGAAAATGAAATCGCCCATACTTACCAGAGTGCTAGACCACACATTGGGGAGTCCAAAATGCTATGTGATGTCGCCGAGCGAGCTCTGTAGCGAGAGAAAATGACAGCGGCAAACAATATTTTGATATAGTGTGCTTTTTAGCTATACCGAAATACTGTATCACGATACGAGGCCTCATCACACAGCGGTACCCCGCGCACTTTGCCTTCATCAGCCACGTGCAACACGCTCTCCAACATTAATAAAAGAGATGGCGTCCTCGGTTTCCGCGATTTCGACGCATTTTCAACCAAAATTGCATGTCGAATATCCTGAAAACCTACGCTCGGCAGTTCGAGTTTGGTGTGAGTGCCCAAGCAACGACGGCAACCAACAAGCTGGTCGCACACCGGGTCAAGACCCATTGCCAACTGTGGTAGCCAGTTTTACGGTCCTTGGAGCTTTGGAACCCCGCGATGTCACGTGAAGTATTTAGGCAATTCTGCCACCACCTCGAAAAATGGAAAATGGATTTGCGCGTGATTGCGCTACGTGCAGCGTCGGAAACGACATGTAGGTCCTTCGAGAAGTGTGTGGGGAGGTATACACGGCTGCTACGTGGCGCTGGCGCGTCTGTGGGCTGCTACTCGTCGTTATGCTGAATGGTGCCCACACTATTTAAGACGAGGTCCTGAACCAAGTCTTGTTGGCTAGAAAAATTAAGAATTGAGCCACTACTGAGTAGAGTGTTTTCATGGGGCAAGTTTTGGTCAAGCTCTTTGGTTGAGGTTTTGCGTTGGGGTAGCGTGCAATCTAGCGCTGGGATCGTGTACTACGTGTATCGAGGTTTGGGCTCGTCGGTGTACGGAATCATGTGCATTGAAGTTTAGCGTACCCTGCCCCACACCTCGTGTTTTCTTGGGGCAGGGCGTGGTTGGTCTTTGTGGTTTAGATGCGGTGGACCATCTAGCCGTCTTTCTGCGTAGCATGTGCAATAGTTTGATTCGTGCAGAAAGTTTGTGCAGGGTGCCATCGAGCTTTTTATGTCGGTTTGGTATCAGGCAGCGTGCAACCTGGCGGTATGTCTGTGCGGTAGCTCTGGTCCCGATCTTGCTAAGATGTGGCCTGTTATGGTTAAAGCCGTCGCCGGAAGGAGCTCTTTTTTAGCCACCCAAACCCTCGCATCCTTTCAGCACTCGGGTCCAAACTGCATAGCCGGACGCTTCTTGCATAGAGGCCGCAACAGCTTGCTCCAGCATCGCGGCAAGATCAGCGTTGCCGGACATATAACGTCGAAGAGGTCATTTGAAGGGATTGCAACTCGGATTGACAGGCCCAGCGATTCTATCGTGACAGGCGCGGCCGCTGCACGCGCACGCTTCGCCAGAAAGAGCAGCCGCCGCAGATCTATCTATCTGGCGACGCAATATTCCGACGCAGCACCTTGGCCTCCACGATCGCAGTCGCTGTCGCCGGGGTGCTCGCGGCTTGGCGCTTCCGCTGCTCGTGCTGACGCTCGGCCCGCTATGTTGGCGTCCGACCATGGCCGGGTCTCCTGCTCTGTGCTTCGCGCGCGCATTGCAAATGAAACCTGCCAATCAATTGTAACATCCGGATACGATTCCACCATCGCGATCTAACACTTTGATCCAACACCACGCGTGGCATCGAGGTCCAGCGCTATCGCAAGGGGTCCATCAAAACTGAATGCTCTATCGCGCAGATTATCCTACCGCGCTGCCATGCACTATCGCACGTGCACACGCTACACTCGTGGTTGGCGCATCGATGCGAAAGGCACTCGCTACGCTCGTGGTAATCGTTCTTCAATTACAAGACAGATTCAACGCTACGCCCCTTGCGGAAAGAGGGCATCATACGCAGCCTGCTCTTCCGGAGAGAGCTTGTCGGCGCCTTCGCGCTTGGCCGTTAGCTCGGCAATCTCCTCGTGCAAGGCTGCGAGCCGCGCGTGCGCCTTGCGAAGCTTCTCGCGGTGCTCGTCCATGATCCATTCGTGGAGGGCCGAGAGCCGCGATGGCTGCTTGAAGGCCGTCGCAATGCGCACCGCGCGCAGCCGCAGGAACATGGCCGCGAAGAGGTCCTTGGCGAGCACCTTCTCGTCGACGAACTCGAAGACGGCCTGCCATTCGACGGCGCCGAGGGCCACGATGGAGATGTCGGGCGTCGGGACTTCCACTTGCGAGACCGAGGCGTACACACGGCGGCGGGCCGACGTTGCCCGACGAAGCGCCGCAAGCCCCGCGATCGAGTCCGAGAGCAGCACGTTGACGTAGTTGAGCGACGGCGGGACGTCGGCGATGTAGTAGGCGTACTGGCCAAAGCGGACGGCGCCGTCGATGTTTTTAGCATCGGCGCTTGGATGCTCCGTCGCGTCAAAGAGCAACGGGAACCGATGGGCGATCGCCGGGACCGCGCCGCACGCAAAGACGAGGCTGTCGAAGAGCACCGCGTCCGTCATGACGGGCTCGAGGAGGTTGCCGTACCGCTCCGTTAGGTCGAAAATGGACGTCATTCCTTCCAGAGCGTGGCGCTCGTCGTCCGCTTCGAGGCGCAGACGAGCGATGTCTAAGCGCAACACTGTCGAAGTCGCCTTGGGCGTCTTGATCTTGTCAGTGAGAGCGGCCGCTGGAGTCTTCGTCGAGTCGCTGGGCGCTGCCGCAGGCATCTTGGTCGAATCGTCGGTCGCAGCCATGACAGCACCGTCGAGTGCTGGTGCAGACGCCGTCGCCTTGTCGTTGAACGGCTCTCCAGCAAAGACGCGAGCTTCCACCTTGGCGTCGTGTGTGGGGCCGTGCACGAGGAACGAAGCCAGCTTCATGGAAGGCGGCACGTTGAAAAGTAAGATATACATCCTTGCGCGCACCACCTTGAAGGCGCAATCCGGACCAGCGCCGCAAAGCAACGCTTCAACGAGCGTGTACGGGGCTCCTTTACCGGAATCCTGAGCACCAGCAATAGCTACTTGCAGCGCCCGACGCTACGGTAGCTTTACACCCCACAAACAGCGGCGTGCCACCGAATCTGTGCGTGACGCTCTTGCTCTTCTTGAATCTCGCACTGCCACGTCATGGAGAACGTGCGGTCGAATGACGCCGCTGCGACCAAGTGTTTTGGAGGTTGGGTGAAACAGATTCGTGGCCGATATCCACGTGCGCGCAGTTGTTGCAATCAGTAATGACGAGGGTAGCTCGACCTCGCAGACCAGCTTTTGAGAACCACTTCTGTGGTCTGCGACTACAGTACAATGTGTACTTCAATGTACGGAACGACGTGGCTGCCGAGAGTCAACGCGTTGAAGTTGCGTGCATCGATGCTTGGGTCCTCGAACCAAGCCCACCAGCTCCATTGTCCATCGTTTGAACTTTTTATCATGTGCCGCAGCGCTAGAACTGAAAACCTAGCTAGTAGCAGCGCCAATGAATTCGAGGCCGTTGCCGACGATGTACTTTGCTAGCTACTCTATCCCTGAACGATGAGACTATCCACTCGGTTGTCTTTCCGCCCACTGCCTTCCGCATGTGGTTGTGGTCAGCATCTGTTCAGAGATCCTCCGTGACGTGGCACCGGGAGATGCAAGAATTAAAAGACCTTCACTCATGACGCCAGCGATCGTGCCACGTGTGGCGACATATCCCAACGTCGTCGGCAGCGCCTTTGACGTTCATCGATCGGTCAAACGACTCTATCCGAACAATGTCCCGGGAATCGCGCTCCTGCCTCCGCCTGCCTGGATCAAGTTTCTCAACCTAGCGTACGCAACGAAGAAAGAGCATCTGTTCAGAGAACCTCCGTGACGTGGCACCGGGAGATGCAAGAATTAAAAGACCTTCACTCATGACGCCAGCGATCGTGCCACAGTTCGGATCCACACCACCGTCGCGCCGGCAGCGTCACACGTGCGAACGCCCGCTGCAACACAAGTAGCTGTCGGCTGCGGCGTAAAGGAGCCTCGTGGAGAAGGCGATCGTTGAAGCATCCATCTGACGCTACGAACGACGAACGAATCGATTTTTGACGCCGGCTCCGCGTCCAGAGGCCATTTTTCAATTTGCAATGGCGTTAATGAGGTTCTTTGTTTCCCGTCGTCCGGCTGGTGTGGGCCGCCAAGACGCTTCGAAGGAGGCCCACCACTTTCCGGCTGACGATCTCGGCGGCACGGCAACAGCGCGCAGCAGCACGATGTTCAAGCGGCTCGATGCGGTGAGCCTGGCACGTAGCCTTCACAAGCTTTCCGCGCCTCGAGCAAAATCGGAGAAACTCTCCCAAAGGATGTTCGCATCCATGCGGCTGCGCCTCGAACTCAAACGACTGCTCGGGGTACTGAGAGGCTCTCAGTGCCCGAGGACTCGGTTGTGCTCGAGAAGCAGCTGCATGGATGCAAACATCCTGTGAGCGAGCTTCTCCGGCAGCGAGCGAAAACTTGATTTTCGCAGTGCGCATCAATCAATGCATTGTTTTTTGTTATTAAATCACTATCCGAGGTCGAGCTTTTGTCCATGATTGGTCGTGCGTCTTCTCCAGGTCGACGAGCCCGCAATCACTTAGCAATCACTTCGGCCCATGCGGCCAAAACATCGAAAAAAGCTCGTTGGATGCTGGCGCGGCGTCATAGCTTGGACACGATCTGCACGCGTCGTTCATTATGGTAGATGAATCCATGTCCCTTGATCCTTGATTTCACGCATTGTTTAGCTGCCAGCCTTCGGATCATTGTCATTGTTGGTGCCTATTCTTGGCAGGTTTCATGCCACCTCATGGCCCCTTGGTCGCAGCGCCTTGCTACAGCTGCCAGCGTGAGCGTCGCGCTCGTCCAAGACAGCGCAGCGTTCTGCACTGATGCGACGCTGCTGCAGGTGCATCTGCCGCAGCGTCAACCTGCCCGCGTGTCGTCTCGCATCGGGCTACGTGTTTGGTGCGACGAGCGGTACGCGGCCATCTCGACTCTGTCAAGTGCGTCCTTCTAGAGTTTCCCAGCCAGCACCAGTGGAGCGTCTTCTGCCAGCACGCGAGCTGCCAAGTGCTCTTCCTCGAGCTGCGCCAGATCCAGTTCCCAGATGCGTGCCGGTCCTGTGGCGTGGACAGCCCCAAAATCCCTTTTGTCGACGCCTACGTTGGTTCGCCCTTTCACTACGATTGACGTCTTGCTTCAATCTGTCAAGTTGATGTATTCTTTCTATTGGGGGAGACCAAAGTAGAGCTTGGCGTCTTCGCGCGGCGCGAGGGTTTCGATGGCCACGTGCGACACGTTGAGCTTCTTGGCGTCGACCACGGACGCGTCGTACGAGCCAATGACGCGAACGACGTCGCCTGTTCTTCATGGTGAGAGACCTCCGTGAAGATCGAGTGCGCGAACCTGCGCGCAAGTGACGGACGAGGCATTGCGGGATCGAGTACTGGCCCTGGACGAGCTCCATCTTGTTGAGGACGATCTGGACCATCTCGCCGAGGGATGTTTTCATGTCTGCGAAAGTCAGGTGCTTGTGCTTGATGCGCAGGCGGAGGAGTTCGCCCGTGAGCTACCCACTGTAAAGAAAGTGCTTGGGATTATGCGAGTGTACCTCGACAGCGCCAGGAAGCAGAGGACCGTGCGTGCTATAGACAGCGCTAATGTCGCGCGTGATGGCTTCAACGGACGGGTAATCCTGCGACGTGTCCTTGGCGGCCCTAGATCATTCCATCCACGACGATGTATATACCAGCAAGTGCATACCGCAACCAGCCACAGAGCACGAGCGACGCATGGTTTTCGAGCTTGAACCACTCAAACTGCCAGCCCAACGACGCACTAGGTGGCCATGAGATGCCTTCAATTTCGTCCGCAGCGTCGGAAGAAGAACGTACTGGGTAAAGTACGCAGCCCCCTTGAGCTTGCGCCGGGGCGTGATCGAGATGAAGCCGGCGTGGGCGTAGCGAGAGTCGACGCGCGATGACGCATACTGACACACGGTCTGTACGAACGCCGACGCTTGGCGCGACTCGATGCTGAAGAGCAGTTCGTGGAGCACGCCAACGTCGACGACGACGTCAAAGACTGCTTCGTCCTTGGCGACCGCGCGGATGTCGAGGTGCAGCGCCGGGTACGTGGACTGCAAGTGCGACGCAAACATGCCGGCGTTGTCGCCGAGGAGGCCCACGCGACACTGCGGCAAGAGAAACCTACACGCCCGTTGCTTCAACCGAAAGCCGAGTCGTACCGCTGGAGGAGGGTCGTGGCCGGCGCCAAGACATTCGCGATGGCCTCGACCGACGCAGACGACGAGAGGACCTTGTCGATGTACGCGTCCTCGGGCCTCGCTTCGAGCACCGGCGTCACGTACGTCTTGACGACGCAGCCCTTCATGGCCTGCGTCGACGGGTTGACATCCACCGAGGCGACGTTGGCCGTGCGATCGCCGACCCAGAGACGCAACTAGAAAGAAGCGCATGATGGAGCTACGTAGCACATGTCCATCTCTCTACCTCGCGGTGGTCGGAGAGGATGCTGAAGTCATCGAACACAATGTCGGGCGGTCTACATCCGCAGGCGTCAGAGGAGGACACGTGCAAGCGATATCGCCTACCGCTGGAAGAGCACTTCCTGCTGCCCATACCAGTTGCAGCTAGTACATGTATCGATGAGGAGATGCAGCGGAATATGGGCCAGTGTACCAGGGTAGGGTCACGACGCCGACGATGGACTCGGCCTCGATGGACGAGAGCGCCTGGTCGAGCGTCACGTGGGCGTGCACGAGAAGCACGATCGCGCGCCGGAGCTTGATGCGAATGTCTTCGATCTTGGCGCGGATGGGCACGACCTGCTGGATGCCCTCCCAGGGCACGGGCGCGTCCGGCGTCGAGAGACGCATCTCGGGGTCCACGCTGTAGCACGTCCAGCCCTTGGTGCGGTACGCAAACATGACGGCCGTCCGCGCTACATGCCATGAGCTTCTTGGAAGACAACGAGGAGAAAGCGTGTACGGGTCGAGCCATCGCCGACGACGACGATGCCATCTTCAGCCGGGTTGCCTTCGTCAATGTCGAGGAAGCGACGCGTGGCGTTGAAGAGGCCCATGCTCTAATGCGCCCCATAGGATCATCCTCACGAGATGCATGCATGTCGTACCTCAGTCACCTCCTTGGCGTCCGGGAAGATGCCCATCTGCAGGAGGTTCGGCGCGCACTGGAGCTTCCCGACGAACTCGTTCATGTAGCGCAGCGACATGGGCGCATGGCCCTCCGACTCGGTCGGCAGCGCCCAGTTGGACTTGGAGAGATGGCGGTTGTCCGTCGACGTCTTCCCCGTCAGCATCTTCTTGCTCCACCCGGCACTATAAAATGACAGAGACCTGTGTTTTACCGCCGTATTCAACATCCCGTATATCGAATTTGAAAGGATATCAATACGTGCAGAGTTGAAGCTAGCGCGGTCGACGCCGTTAACTGCACTGGCTACCGTCGTGCTGACTATGTGGTGAGGTCCGAGAGCAGGTGCTTCTGGCGCCGCTGCAGTCGCGAGGCTAGGCCGTGTGCTGCAGTAGTACCTCGCACCTTGCGGTGTCTTTATTTTCGGCACATGCCGAACGGGACCACACCACCCAAGCTCGCGGGTTGAGTCGCGTGCATTGATTGGCTGGATTCGAATTGGCCGTTTGGTTGGTGAGCCAAATCCGGTTCTTATGCCCAAGGAGAAGAAGGCGACGAAGGGCAAGCGCGCGTGCGCGCTCGAGAAGCAGCTCGCGTACGACGCCAAGCCCAAGTACAAGGTCAAGGCCGCCGGCTCGGACGACGACGGCTCCTCGGACGACGAGGGCGACGCCTACGTGCCGCAGAAGCTCACGAGCAAGACGCTGGCGTTGGCGCGCCAGCAGCAGGCCGAGGAAGCTGCGCTCTACCGCAAGCAGACGCCGGCGCGCCAGACGACTCCTGCGCCGATGGCCGACGACAGCGACTCGGACGACGACAGTGACTCGGACGATGGCGGCTTCAACGACATGGCCGACGACGACGACGACGAGCTCGTCCGCCTCAACAACGGCTACGTCGAGGACGTCGAGATCTGCGAAGAGGACGAGAAGGTGCTCGCCAACTTCCTCATCGGCGGCTCGGAGCGCCGCAACCTCGCCGACATCATCATGGGCAAGATCCACGAGAAGGAGGCGCGCGAGGCCGGCGAGATGGACGACGACGTCCGCGGCCAGCCGCAGCAGTTTGACCCGAAGATCGTCGAGGTGTACACGGGCGTCGGCAAGATCCTCCAGCGCTACACGAGCGGGAAGCTCCCGAAGGCGTTCAAGATCATCCCGTCGCTGAGCTACTGGGAGGACATCCTCTGGCTCACGACGCCCGACAAGTGGTCGCCGCACGCGATGCGCGCAGCCACGCGCCTCTTCGCGTCCAACTTGAACCCGAAGATGGCGCAGCGCTTCTTCAACGTCTTCCTCCTCGAGCACTGTCGCCAGGACATCCGCGACAACAAGCGCCTCAACTTTCACTTGTTCATGGCGCTCAAGAAGGCGCTGTACAAGCCGCAGGCGTTCTACAAGGGCATCATCCTCCCGCTCTGCGAAGGCCGCGACTGCACCAACCGCGAGGCCGTCATCATCGGCTCGGCGCTCTCCAAGGTCTCGGTGCCGGTCATCCACTCGGCGGCGGCGCTCATGAAGCTCGCGGAGCTGCCGTACTCGGGCGCCAACTCGGTCTTTATCAAGATTCTGCTCAACAAGAAGTACTCGCTGCCGACGCGCGTGATTGGCGCGCTCGCGACGCACTTTGTGAGCTTTTGCAACGACGACCGCGTCATGCCGGTCTTGTGGCACCAGGCGCTGCTCGTGTTTGTCGAGCGCTACAAGAACGACATCTCCAAGGACCACCGCGAGGGCATGAAGCTCCTCCTCAAGACGCACGTGCACCACCAGATCACGCCCCTCGTGCGCCGCGAACTCTTCAACGAATAGATATATCCCTACGCTTCTAATCATACCACGGCGACGGCTCGTCGACCTTGGTGTATTTACACATCTGTCCATGCTTTTCATTTGATTAGGGTTGGGGTAGGGGTCGGGGTGCAGTGAAAGCAGCGCTTGCAGACGACAACCGAGCGCGCGGGATCCCGGGCTCGCTTTGGCCCGCTCAAGTTACGTGCAGCAAGGACGACGAGGACGTTGGCATACTACTGGATGGGTGCTGCTCATGGGATTATATAGCTCTTTTTTATAAATGTTAATATCTAATACGACGTCTAGGAAGGTGGATGGCTACCACTGCTCGCTGGCGCCCGGCGACCCGCACTCGGTGCTGCTGCCGCACGCCGTCGACGAGCTCGACTTTTGCTGCATTGCGGCGCGGAAGAGGTCGGTCTTGTACCGGCGGAAGAGCTGCTGGAGCCCGCCGCCGTTGAGGAAGCTCTCCTCGAGCGCCGTGAGTTGGAACGGGAACGACTCGCCACTCACGACGACGACGCGGCCGGGCAGGTCTACGTGGACCTCGGCGCCTTCGGTCGCGAGCGTATGGAAGCGCTCGTCTGTGATGACGATGCCGAGGAGCGCATTATTCGGTTGGTTGCGTGCGTAAATGTACGCAAACGACTTGGCGATGACCGCCTGGATGCCCAAGGCTTTGAGGCAGCGCGCGGCTTCTTCGCGCGACGAGCCCGAGCCAAAGGCCGAGCCCGCGACGATGATGTTGGCGCCGTCCCGCGCGCGCTGCACAAACTCGGGCCGCGTGTACGCAAACGACTTGGACGCGAGGACCTCTTCCTCCGTCTTGCAGTCGGCGGGCCACAGCGGCGACGTCGGGTTGAGGCCCATAAACTGCGCCGGAATGATCGCGTCCGTGTCCACGTTGTCCTCAAAGACCTGGACGCGGCCAGAGAACTGCGCCGGCGGTGGCTTGGCGGTCGGCGACGCCGGGGACTCGGGCACGGAGATCGCACTCAGCACCGGCGCCGGCGCCGCGATCGCATAGGCCGGCGCAAAGCTCGAAGGCGACCACTCGCGGTACGCGTCAAACAAGGCAAAGTCGATCTGCGCGACAAACGGCGCCGGGTCCGTCACGGTCATCGAGAAGCTGGACGCGGCGACGGCGACGGCCGACGCGAGGTGTCCGATCGAGCCGCGGCCCATGCGGTTGCGGAAGTTGCGGTTCTGCGACGTGAGCCAGACTTCGCCCTCGAGCGCCACGTCGGCGCCAATGCCCACGCAGAACGAGCACGACGGCACGCCGACGGTAAAGCCCGCGGCCTCGTAGACGCTGAGGAGCCCGAGCGTCTCGAGGCGCGCGACGATCTCGAGCGACCCGGGCGTCACGCGGCGGCGGTACGGCTTGTCGTGTCGCGACACGGGGATCTTGCCCGAGCTCAGGCCGATCTGCAGCACCATCGCACCGAGGATCAAGTCCTCTTGCGTCGTCGTGCAGGCGCCGATGAAGCAGCCGTCGAGCGCCATGTGCGTGAGCTCCGAAATCGGCGCGCAGTTGTCGGGCGACGGGTACACTGCGACCATCGACTGCACGTCGTCGAGGCGGATCACATGGTGCGCTGCGTACTTGCAGCCTTCGTCCGGGCGGAAGTAGAGGCCTTCGTCCTTGTGCGACGACCGGCCTTGCAGCACGCGCGCCGTGATCTCGTCGGCCTCAAAGACGCCGGCGATCGCACCAAACTCGGTGCTCATGTTGGCGATCGCGAACCGCGCGTCGTCCGAGAGGTGCGCGATGCCTGCGCCGCCGTAGTAGACCGCGCGCTCGAACGCGACCGTGTTACGCTTGAGGTGGCCGAGGATGTGCAGAATGATGTCCTTGCCGCCAATACCGAGGGCTGGTTGACCGACAAACTCAATGTAGACGACCTCGGGGACCTTGAACCAGGTCTGGCCCGTCACAAGTGGCATGACGACGTCGCCCGCGCCGAGGCCCGCGGCGAAGGCGCCCATGCCACCGGCGCTGCACGTGTGCGAGTCGGCGCCAATGACGATCTGGCCGGGCTGCGCGCGCTTGCGCGCAAACTCGGTGTGCATGATGGTCGTGTTGGGCTCCCAAAAGTCCGAGACGTTGTGCTCCGAGGCAAAGTCGGTCGCGAGCTTGATGAGCGCCTGCTGCTTGGACTGGTGGTTCACGCGCGGGTCCACCGTGTGGTCGATCGCGAGCCAGAAGCGGTCCGGGCGGTGCAGCTTGGGCCGGCCGATCGACGCATACAAGGTCTCCATGCCCTGGAACGTGAGCTCGCTCGCGAGCGTCCAGTCGGCGTTGACGCAGAGCACGTCGCCGACGGTCACGCTGGGCGAGCTCAGGCCGACCGCGTGGTGGCACAGGATCTTCTCGATCACGTTCATCGGCATCTTCCGTTGACGGCAAATGCAATTCTGCCAACGGCCAAGTGGATCTTCGACGTGGTTGCGCATTAGCGGGCGATTGCGCAACCATGCGCACTCGATAAAGTACGCCGTCTGGCGCACTTTAGAGGAAGCCTCGTCCTCGTGCTGCCACGAGGGGCTCGAAAATGATTGTGATGCCCTCGCCAACGCATCGACGCAGCCAACGACAGCGCGAAGCGTGGACCTCGATGCTCGTAGAAGCCGCGCAGAAGGTCAGCGCGCGGACGGTCCAGGACAGCAGCAAGGGAATGCAAGTGTTCGCTGAACTCCAGAGACGAGGACACCACTGGAATGACCGACGCTTTGTGCCCTCCACATCGGCCTCCACCATCATACCGGTAACTGGCTGAGTTAAAGATGCATGAAAGGCAGAACACGGCTGTGAGGTAAAATACGGCGGCTGTTTCCTGCAGGTGCTAATACCACACGGTCACTTGGGCTCCGTCTTGAAGCTTTGGTATGCCATAGGCTCGTAACGATCCGAGCAACTACTTGGCTTCTGCCTAGGATGCAACCGTGCTAGCAGCGCGTGCGCGGCGCTTGTCGTTCAAGTGTTCAAGTGAATCGCGCGTGACTAAAAACACGCCACGGACGTTGAACCCATTTAACGTCCACATCGCGTCAAAGACGTTTAACCTATTTAGCGTCCCCGTGTTTATACTGTTACTGCCTGAAGGATTTGGAGAACCGGCGGCTGACGACGGGCGAGATGGACGTGTACGAAGCAAAGCTGGCGGCGGCCGCGCATGGCGACCGCGAGAAGGGCCTCGAGCTGCTCGAGTTCGTGCGCAAGGAGAAGCTCCGCGTGCCCGACGTGGTCGTCAAGGTCGGCCAGGCGCTCGTCGCCCGCGGTGGCCTCGGCGACGCGCTCTGGACGATCCACGAGCAAGTGCTCATCGCCGCGCTCGACCTTGGCGCTATGGACGTTGTCGACTCTACCTTCCTCGCGCTCAAGAACAAGTTCCCAGACTCGTCCCGCGTGCTTCGCCTCGAAGGCATGATCTTTGAGGCGCAAGGCAAGTACGCGCAGGCCGACGCGCTCTACAAGGACATTTTGGCCAAGAACCCGGCCAACATGCTCGTGATGAAGCGCCAGGTATCGCTGCTGCGGGCCCAAGGTCGCACGGAGGACGCGATCACGAAGCTCAACGCGCTCTTGCGCTGCTTCCAGACGGATGCTGGCGCGTGGTGCGAGCTCTCGGAGCTGTACCTGAGCCTCGGCAACTACAAGCACGCTGCCTTTTGCTACGAGGAGCTCATTCTGCTCAACCCGCTCGACGCGCTCAACCATACGCGCCTGGCCGAGGTTCATAGGATGCGCTGCAAGCGATCGATGCTCATGCTGGTGCATAGCTCTACGTCACGATCGGCGGCCTCGACAACCTCCGGACGGCGCGCAAGCACTTTGCCCACGCGCTCGACTTGAACGCGCAAAGCACGCGCGGGCTCGTCGGCCTCGTCATGGTACGTCATCGCGACTACGATCTAATGCCAACGACGCGGCGATAGTGCACGAGCGCGATTGCGTCGACCAAGACGGCGCGCCCCGAGAAGGACGACCGCGAGCTCAACGCGCGTCTGCACCAGTTTGCGCTCCAGAAGTTGCGGGGCGTCTACGCCGAGCTCCCGACGGCGGCCGCCGGTACGTCGTCGCCGCCCATACCATCTCTGTGTGTTGAAATGGTCGATGCGAATAGTCAACGCGGCCCTCACCAGCACGACGGCAGCCTTTGACGAATAGACATATAGTAGACGACGCGTGATGAAATTCCATGGTCCTTGGTGTTCTAGAGGTCGACGCTGCGGTAGCACAGGCGCGCCTTGCAGTCTTCGATGAGCGTGCACCACGCCGTGTTCTGGCTCAGTAAGGCCGAGTTGCCGACGACCCAGCAGCTCGAGATGGCGCTACCGACGATGAGTCGCCTCAAGCAGTACGACCAAGGACGTACCGCGTCAAGGCCACGTTCATGCGGCGCGTGTCGCCCCAGAACGCGTTTTCTCGGCCGCGCACGGTCCGGACGCACGAGACAATGATGATTTCCTAGCCGCCAAGTGTCATGGCAAGGAAGAGCTGTTGGAGACTCACCTTTTCGCGGCCCTGGAAGCCGTCGACCGTGTTGACCTCGACGAGCTGGCCATAGTTGAGTTTGAGAAAGGCCGTCGAGAGCTCGTGGATCTGCGACTTGTAGGGCGAGATGACGCCAATCTTGCCGCGGAACGCGTAGTCAGGATGCGACTGCACGAGGCCTTTGACGAGCGAGACGATGAACGCGACTTCGGGCAAGTTGCGGTACGAGGTCGAGCCCTCCGCCTTGCTCTGCTCGCCCTGCAAGATGTCGTAAAACACATACGGGCCGTACGCCGGCGTCGCGTGGTACGGCCGCGCGCGGGGCACGCCGCCGTGCTGCAGCTGGCCGTCGTAAAACATGGCCGACGGAAACCTAGAGCATTTGAGATTCAGATTGAGATAGTACACACGTCGTACTGGGCAATGTGCGGGTGCATGCGGTACTGCTTGGTGAGAAAGTGCACGTCGTTGGACGCGACGAGGCGCTGGAACATGCTCGTCTCGTACCCCATGCGCATCAAGCGCTATCGACGAGACGACGTCGGCCTCTGCAATCGGAACAGGGTTCGATACCGGCGAGAGCACGGTCGCGGGGAGCTGTTTGTGGTCGCCGACGAGGATCCAGCGCGTGGCTTGAAACTTGAGCGGAATGAGCGAACTCGCCTCCGTGGCCTGCGCCGCTTCGTCGACGATCACCGCGTCAAAGCTCTGCCGAAAGTCGCACATGGAGATCGAGCCCGCGCCCGAGAGCGTGCAAAACACAATCTGAGCTTTCTGCAGAATTTCTTGCCGCACCTACGACGCCAAGGTAGCATCCACGACGCGACTCATGGTGGCACGACGACGACCTGCATATGATTCCAGTTTTGGTCGCGCCGCTGGCCGTGCTGCTGCTCGACGAGCTGGTCGAGGTAAATGGTCGCCGCCGACGTCTGCTTGTACTGCTTCTTGTGGCGCTGCGACGTTGGCGTTTGCTTGAGCCCTGGCATCGACCCGATCCGGACCATCGTCGGCACTTCGTACGTCTTGGTCTACACCCCCGGCGTGTACAGGAAAGATAAGATCGCATGGTCTGAGTACCTTGACGTTGAAGACGCCGTCGGCCTGGAGCCGCTGGATGATGACGTCGACGGCGGCGTTGCTTGGCGCCGTGACGAGGAGTCGCACGGCCATCGCGGCGCGGTCCTTCTCCGAGAGCTGGAGGCCGAGTGACGCGCCGACGCAGACGCGCGCGTTGGTCTGCGTCGTCGCCTGCATGCCCGACCCACTCAGAAGCGCGCTACGAAATAGCGCTGAGCCATCGATCTTGCGTGCGAGCGAGCGGGTGGTACCCGATGAGTCCGACAATGGTGCGGGTTTTGCCCGTGCCCGGCTACATTAAATCAGAGATGCGAAGGAGGAGGAGGCGGGTACCGGGCCCTGGATGAGCGTCAAGGGCCGCTCGACGGCCGACTGGATCGCGCGGAGCTGCGATTTGTTGTATTTTTCTTGCAGCGCGGCCAGCATGATCGGGCGCACGCCAGCGCCGCGGCCGAGGCTCGACGTCGGGACCTCGGCGGCGACAATGAGGTTGCGCAGCATGAGCGGCAGCGTCGGTAGCGACAACACGGCTTGGTACTCACGGGAGCACGTTGTGAGGTTTGAGAGGATCTACCAAGCGTCCATATATGAGCTTGCTATCGGATCGTGCTGCTACCTTGATCAAGTAGGCGCCGGCTTCGATCTCGTGCTTCTCGGACAAAATGATCGTCACTTCCTTGTTGCTAGTGCACACGAGGGATTCCGAGACCGAGCTGAATTGGGAGAGGTCGTACTTTGTGTTGGCGGCCGAGTAGACCACGCCACGCAGCGGCGACGGGCGCTTGTCCTTCATGCGGCAGAGCTCGACCAAATCGTTGTTGGTCAACACAAGGTGCTCGGGCAGCGAGAACGCCGCGAGCTGGAGCCCTTTGGTGTATTCGCTCAGCGAGAGGAACCGGACCTTGTCTGTGCCGGCGCCGTGCTGGTTGACGTCCTGGATGCCCGTGAGCGCTTCTTCCAAGATCGCTCGCTTCATGTTGCCCATGTACTCGTCGAGGCTACGGCGCATGGCGACCAATCCTCAAAAGGAGCGAGTCCTACCTCGAGTACGTTGCTGGGAACGCAAACTTCTTGGGGAGGAGCTCGGGTTTTGTCGGGTGAACGATCGCCCGGTAGAGCTCGCTGAGCGACGGCCAGAGGTCGGCCGAAATCTTGGGTGCGCTCACGAGGTGCTTCTTCGGGAAGGGCTCGTCGTCGTCTTCCGAGTCGGACGACGGCACCGATGACGGTCGACGCACGGGCACAGGTTGGAAGACCCGCGCCGGTGGCTTGGTCGCGACGACGGTCTTTTCCCCTTCGTCCGTATCTTCCTCCTCGTCCTGGTCGCTCTCTTCACTGTCGGCCTCCTCGACAGCTTCCTCCTCTTCTTCGAGATCTTCGTCGTCTTCGGAGCAAGAGCTCAAGGCCAGTTGGGCGTGGTTGATGGCAATCGAGTCGAGCTCGGAGAGGATGCGCGGTGGCGGCGACGTTTCGATGACCAGGGCCGGCTTGGCCTTCGCCTCAGCTTTGACCTCAACCTTGACGGTGGCCTTGAGGGACAGCGACTTTGTCGGCTTGGGCGGTGACGGCGTCGGCTGCAAGACCGGCGTCGACGTCGCACTGAGCTGCGCGCCGGGTTCGTGCTTGATGCTCCCTTCGTCTTCGTCGTCTTGCGTGGCGTCCATGTCCTCGTCTTCGGTTTCACTCTCAGACGCGGCTTCGCTCTCGGATGCTGCGTCATTGGCTCGACCAGCTTTGACAACGGAGGTAGCTGTAGTCGCCAAAGCTGCCTCGTCCTCAGAGGCTGTTTCATCCTCGGAGGCTTCTTCGTTTTCTGACGCCTCGGAGGCTGCAACCGCAGGGACCTTTGCAGGCTCCTGCACCTCGGCGTCTTCGTCTTCGTCGCTGCCATTCTCTGTACTGTTGTCGTCGTCGTTCCAACCGCCACCAAAGACGTCCGTGGCCACCGAGTCCTTGTGCAAGGGCAACGGAGCAGGCGATGAGGGCTCCACCTTGATGCGCACGGGCGGCGACGACACGCGCGGCAAGACGTCCTCATCCGACGCCGTGTCGTCGTCGCGGTGCGCTAACGCGGGACGGCGCAGGCGTCTTGGGGGCGCCTCGTCCGATTCCGACTCGGTCGCGTCCGCGTCGACCTTGCCCGTGGTCTGCTCGGCCTGGATGCGCATCTGCAGCTGCGCCATGGCTGTCTTCACGCAGACAAACTCACTCTTGTCGTCCGACTTGGGCTTCTTGGACGGCGACGTCAGCTCCTTGCGCAGGTCGGCGATCGCTGCGTGGATGGCCTTGATCTTCTGCTGGCAGGCGCGCGGCAGCGACGCGTCGTCGGCGTGGCGGCGCAGCGGCTCGAAGGCCACCTCGACGCCGGCCAGCGCCGAGACGACGTCGCTCGAGATGGACTTTCGCTTCATCGCAGGACCAATCCAACGTGCTAAATTTACGTGTGTATCTTGGCGCTTGAGGTGGACCCCTCTTTTTTAGGGACCCTTCAGAACGAGGGTCGTGGCCATACAACCGACGCTAAAGCGTTTGTAGGGTACCCCAAATCGGTTTTAGGTACCCCACAATTGAAACAGCTGATGGTGCGCCAATGAAAAGATTGGGTACGGGGCCCCATCCAAAATGCATGTGAACGACAGCGAGCTTCCACCAGTTGGACCGAAAAGTGACTGCACAATAAAAGGATCGACCGCACGAGGTAGGTCCGTCACTAGACAAGTTCTCCAGAAAGATATAAAGATAGTTGTCAACCAACGCTTGCAACTCCGGCGAGCAGCATCCGTAGCATCTGGCATTTTCCAAATTTGGCGCCAAACGCACATCCCGTGCACGCACGCGCCAGTCGGTGGCGCTCCAACCCGATCGCAGAAACTCGAAGGGGCGTAGGTCCACCACAGCAGTGATCTCGTTCGTGAGCAGCTTACTTCAGTGGGCAGGTCGGGAGGCAGTACATCGCACCATTCGATGTCTAGAGTCATGGCCTCGGATTGCAACGGAGCCTCTCCCCAACTAGCACTCTTTCACGGACTTGTCGGAGCTTGCTCATGTACTTCATTTATTGTATGCATACTACTTGCGGTAGGGCTCGACCGCAGACGGGGCTTGGTACCGCCGTTGTTCGTCGAGCGCACGCTGGAGTCCATCGATGCGGGCCGCGAGGTGTTGGTTCTCAGCGTGCATCTCGCGCATGCGGTGACGGAGCTCGCGCTTCGAGTCGCAGGACGAGCCGCGCGAGACCATGGACCCGAGGACGTAGGCCGCGATGAAGGTGCCGGCAATGTACTTCTTCGAGTGCCGGTGCCACTTGTCGTCGTAGCTCAGCTTGGTGGTGGGCTTGGGCACCTCGGGCGCTGCCTCGGTCGTGAACCGGCGCGCGGCGAGGCGGGCGTTGGCGCCAATGCGCTTCGTGGTAATAGCTCGGAGGGCGTTCATGGTCAAAGGTAAAATGACCGCGTTGATCCAGTACGTCAACGAGTGCAGGATGACGTGAGTGCACATTGCTGATGCGATCCCGAGGATCCCGAAACATTTGCAAGGCTTTTTATTATCCTTTTATTTGTAGGCGAATGTCTTTTTAATTTCCAGGGGTGGATTGACGGACATTCCGAGAGCGAAATGATGGTCTCTTTACAACACCTTTCTAAGTTGCTCAGAGACACGCAGCTGGAGGCTGTTGATGTGGATTCGCATTCCCATCAACCGATTAGAGGTACCTCATCCAACGAGAACGTTGGTCGCAGAAAGGCTACGCGGACCAACATCCCCTTGATATCTTGCGCATTTGCCAAATTCCTCGACCATGCAACGAGCTACCTCTGCCACGCGCCGCTTCTGTTCGTCCAAGGCGACGCCCGAGTTTCCCAAGCAGCAACGTCGGCGCGTGGTTCTTGGCCACGGCCAAGGAGCTGCAGACGCGGTCGCTCGCCTCGACCAAGGAATTTCGGCAGTGGTTCTTCGCCAGTGATGCGAAATGGTGGATCGGCGGCGCCAGCATCCTCGGGTTCACGTTTGGGGCGCGAGAGCGCAAGCACTGGCACCACCACCGCTATTACTACGACAACAACTTTGACAGCTTCTGGACCACGAACAGCGGCAGCATGCGCTTCCCTCGATGGGACTCCGAGCCGGGCGACGCTGTGAGATCGACAATGACGTGGCCGCCGTCGGCGTGCGCCGTGTCCGAGTCGGCGCGCAAGCCAGCGTATCCCTAACGGCAGACGAATAAACATTCTGTCCTTTCTAGCGTTTCATGATTGCTGAGAAACCTCCGTACGATAGTAGCATGGGCGGTGCCGTTAGCACGGTTGTGACCCAGGAGCTCGGAAAGCCCTGCGACGTCTCGGACATTCCCGACGGAGACTGGAAGGCGGCCAAGGACGAGGTGGCGCGGCTACGGCAGCTCCTCGCCAATTTGCAGAGCGACGCTGCACACGTCCACGCAGCGCCCGAGCCCGCGATGGACCCCAAGAGCAGCGACGAGAGCAAGGAGGGTCGCGCGCTCTGGACCTCGTCCGCCGCATCCCGTGACCCAGCGTCCGGGGCGCTCGTCGGTCAAATCCGCACCAAGCTCTTTGAGCGCTACGACTCGCTGCGCGCGTGCTTCCTCAAGATCGACATTGACCGATCAGGGTACCTCAGCCGGGACGAGTTTATGTTTTCCATGGCCAACCTCGGCTTGCCGATGACAGACGAAGACTTTGACGTCGTCCAAGCGTCGTATCCGCACAAGGAAGCGGCCGGCGACCACGACCGAGGCATCGGGTACCTCGAGTTCATCAAGCTCATGACCGACGAGCTCCGCTACACGCCGGGGTCGGGCGAGGACGAGGCGGACGGCAACTACTTTCGCCAAACGACCCATGGCACTTCGTTCCCGCCCATGCGCGAGCTCGAGTCGACGTCGATGCACCACCGACCCGACGTCCGCCCGCACACGGTCGCCGCCGCACCACCGGCGCTCGCCCGCCTCCGGCACACGTTCAACCGGCAGATCTTTGGGACTTTCAACAACATGAAGGACGCGTTCAAGGCGGCGGACAAAGACCGCTCGGGCTTTGTTGAGCCCAGCGAACTCGTGGCGCTGCTCCACGACGTGCTCGGTATCCAAGCCAGCGAGCGCGATATCCTCGATCTGCTCGACGCCTTTGACGCCAACCGGGATGGAAAACTGGCCTACTCGGAGTTTGTCAAGTGTCTCAGTCAAATGCGGTAATAATATATTAACCATTTTCGTTGTGCGAATACTGTGCACCACCCGCTCTTTGAGCAACTTCAACATGAAGTTCGAAGTTAGCGATCGAATTTCGAAGGCAAGGGATTTGCTGCTTGGGACTTGCGGCTCAAAATCGACTGACGCTCGTGCCCATGTTCCGCCTCCCGCGCACGCTTCGCCACGCGAGCTTGGCTCGCTCCTTTAGCGCCCGTACGTATGCCTGGAGGATGACCTGCCCGCTCAGGCTCTGGGCGTAGAGACGCTCGAGTACATCAAGACCGACGTCAACGGCAAGGTGGGCATCATCCAGCTCAACCGCCCCAAGGCGCTCAACGCGCTCTGCGACGGCTTGATGC